GTATTGATTTAATGTATGTCTTGACTGCATACTTATGTGTTTATAATAGCCTACATAGAGCCTCGAGGGATTCGTGTAACTGTGAACAGATCTGACAATATTCTAGCTGTGATATTGATCACTATCAGAGACAGACATCATAATATTAAAACAACCTTTTTAAATGTGGAGGTTGACATTTTAAACATTCTTTGGATAAATGTGTCAGAGCGGGCGTAGGTGTGGTGTAGGAATCAGATGCAGGACACAGATGCTAGTCCAAAATACTTTAGTAAAGTCCACAAAAGAACGGCTACAAACAAAGCCGGAGGCACGAGAAAAATAACGCACACAGCGTATACATGCAAAACACAGCAAAACACGCACAACAAGTGCGGACTCTCTATCTAATACAAAATAGAGCACTATCTGACTGGAAGCACCAGCTGACAAGGAACAACTACACACAACCACAAGACAGAAACAACGAGAACTTAAAGGACACATAATCAAGACAAAATGAGAAACAGGTGTACCAAAACAGACCAAACCAAACAAACACAGAAACAACGAACGGTGGCAGCTAGTACTCCGGAGACGACGACCGCCGAAGCCTGCCCGAACAAGGAGAAGGAGCAGCCTCGGCCGAAACCGTGACAAAATGCCATCCACCCACGACTACCTTTTGATTTTAAATGTCTTCTGAAATGTCATGTCCATTCAAAAACCCTAACATACCAGACAGTCTAGCTACCGATGCATGCTAGAACTGGAGATTCCATTTAATTCATTGTTAGAGTATAGAAATAATCAGTGTCTGCGGTGTTGTTTGACTCCAGGCAAGACAAGCCGTCAGAGACTGGTTCAATAGTGTGTACTAGCCTAGGGTGTAGCAGACCTCTCATAGGGCTCTTAGATGGCATGCTGTCAACTAACTCACACATCAGAGCAGTGGATCCCCAGGCTGTCTTTAGAACACAAGCAGATGTGTTTATAAAGTTCCCCATGGACAAAAGCCAGCTAGCACACAGTGACACAGATATCGGCTACAAAGAACCATAGGATATATGAGGTTGCTGTAATTCCCCATTTATAGGCCTATTCCATGCCATGAATTAGAACAAAAGTGATTTCGGTCACACTTTATTTGGATAGTCCTGATAGTCCATCTGTAGATGCTCTAACGATGGTCATACGATCAACAAACTATCTGTTGATAAGCAACTGGTTGCTAGGATTATGGTTAGCGTTAATAGATAGTTAGCTGAAATGTTAGTTATGGTGTGTAGAAACACCAATCAGCTCTGAAAGCACCTACTTTGGTCTCAGTTGCTCAAACGGCAATCAGAAACCAAATGGTGCTAACCTGATGAACGCAAATGAGATCCCTCCTCGGCTGGCCTAAGAGCCCCATGGAAGTGTATGCTGGCTGCCGTGCCACTGTTTTGGATGTGCCATGTGTCAGTAGTAGCCTCATAAGTCAGACAATATAGGGTTGCTAAGGTGACAGAACTGCAGCTCCGCTATTGTTTCAGAAATATGAAATGGTAAAGACTGATAGTGAAGGCTATGTCAGTAGAACCATTGTGTAATGAGGATCACAGTGTTACAGATGTGATGAGAGAGGAGCTGGTGAGGGAACACAGTCCTATTCCCTGGCCCCTGCTCCCAGACAGGGAGGCCCCAATGCCCTGGCCTCTGAATATTTATTGTCTTAAAGGTACTTTGTTCTAATGGCCCACCTGGGTTTTAGGGGAGCGCTTGTTTGTATCTCTCCCTGGGCCTCTGGAGGAAACAGGGGAGGCCTTTGGAGAGAGGGAGGGGGGGAGAAAGGGAGGGAGCAGGGAAGGGGAGAGAAAAGGAGGGAGCAGGGAGGGGGACAGAAAGGTGTGTGTGTGGGCGTTGATTGATGTTGATGGAGAATCGGGCCATGATGAGAGAGAAAGTGAGTGGTTATTTCCATCACAGATGTATCCAAAATGAGTGTGATCTATCCACAGCAGTTGGCTGTTTTTAAATCAACCACAGTGGCAGTGACAACCCTTGGGGCATATTGAAGGTCACCTACTTAGAATTACATTTAAGAAGCTTAAAATAATCTCTGTGGTCACCTACATCTCTGTTTCAACTTGGTGATCACCTCCCTTCTCAGCAGAAAAATAGCATGTATTGTTTCATACAAACAAAAGGGATATTTCTATTTTTCCATCATTCGGCTGGAACAGTGCCTCTGATGTCCAGTTTGGTTGGCCTCGGCCATGGCTGACTGTCCCTCTGCATCAGTTCAGGTCCCTCTTCGGCTGTCACCAGCCTCAGTCCTCTCTCCCCACCTCACCTCGCCCTCATCCCCACCTTTGACCCCCTGGGCATCTCAAAAGAAAGACTACCCAGAGTTCAGTGCGGGCAGAGGAACTGTACGAACCCTCTCTAATGTCTCTCCTTCTTTTCGCTGTGTGTGTGTGTGTGTGTGTGTGTGTGTGTGTGTGTGTGTGTGTGTGTGTGTGTGTGTGGATGACAGGCATCCAGGGTTTCCCTCTCAATTGTAGCTGTAATGCTCTTATCACGTTGATGTCTTTAAGAGGAAAGATTCTAAGATTAGGGACGCCACACTAAATCTCTTCGACCATCCAGGTCTCTGTGTATGATGTAGTACAGGTATATCTTAACATGGTGCTACAGTACAGTAAGATACAGTAGAAGTCATGGGAAATGAAGATTATATTGCCATTTATGCTGTTTCAGTTGTGTCTTCACAATACGTATTTGACATTCATCTTAGGGGGATGGGGGGAGCATTTGTCTAAACATACAGTAAGTAGAGTACTGGGTGTATCCAAGGCCACTTGTCATGCACAAGTGCTATAGGCTAAATGTAGTAGCTGGGCCTTCCTGATCTCCCTCCCTCCCTCCCTCTCTCCCCAGCACCCTGTCCTGACGGAGCCCCAAGCTTCCCTGTGAAGGAGCACGATGACAAGATGGCACATCTGCTTGTACCGCCCGGACCTGACAGCTTCCGCCGCTTCTGTCCTGACTCGCTTGCCGCCATCGAAAGGCGCATTGCAGAGGAGGAGGCCCGGAGACCCCGTGTTGGCCGCTTTAGCTACAGCGATGACGACAACGGGCCCAAGCCCAACAGCGACCTGGAGGCGGGGAAGTCCCTCCCCTTCATCTACGGGGATGTCCCCCAAGGCTTTTTCTCCGCCCCTCTGGAGGACCTGGACCCCTTCTACTCCAATCAGAAGGTATGTCTGGAGTCTGGACACACCCACACCTAGCCTAAGTTCCAGATCTGTTTGTGCTGTCTTGCCAACTCCTATTTCATGTCATATGGGACTCAGGCTAAACCACACCTACAACCTTTAAGGTTGGCCTATTTTTCAATACAAAAGCATTATGATACATTCACACGACATTGCAAGACTCATTGGCAATCACGTTAGCCCCTGCTGACCAATAATGACACAGGAGTTCACAGAATGTTCTGAATTTGAAACAAAACTAGCGTACCGTGCTCTGATGCGGTGACATGGGGTCCTGTCCTCATGCTGCCTCCATGTTGTTTCATTAATGTATTAACTGGTGCAGTGATTCATCTTCAAAGAATAACACAGAATAACAAAAACAGACCAAAATACATTTTAGGCACTGTTTCTGGGCACTCAGTTCATGTCAACACACTCAAGGGTCCTCCTCAGACAGTGCCAAGATTAACTAGCAGCCAACAACACAAGTGCCAGGAACTGAGCTGAACTGTGGCCCCAGCTGAGTCTTTGATGTTGTCATCCAGACACAATGTACTGTAGAAGCCCCTTCTGCAGGACGGCTGTTTACAGAGCCTACCAAACACTTTCACACTGCCATGATCAGACACATACACTTAGACAGAAACACACACGCACATACACATACACCCACACATAGAAAGTCACATTTGCATGGGTACACACACACACACACATCATGAGTCCATCTGAGAGGGACTGCCTGACTGCTCTCCTGCCTCTGGGGTTTGAGCATGCCAGACATAAAAAACAACTCCAATAATAACAGGATCACAGGACAGCCTCAGCGCACCATCAACAGTGGACTCTATTTACTGTAAGAGGACAGTGTGCTGTGTTGGTGTGTACAGCTGGGAGAGGTGTGTTTCACATCCACAGTCACTTCTTGTAGTTTATTTCCATAGTCAGCCCAAATAACATGCAGTAAGATGTTCTACATATTACTGCATGTTATTTGGGCAACTCAAATCTTCCTCCCCCTCTCTCGCTCTTCCTCCCTCTCTCTCTCTCTCTTTCTCTCTCTCTCTTTCAGACGTTTATAGTATTGAATCGTGGCAAGGCAATATTCCGTTTCAACGCCACTCCTGCGTGTTACATCCTAAGCCCCTTCAATCCTCTACGGAGAATAGCAATTGCAGTTTTAGTACACTCATATCCTTTCACATCTATATCAAGGCTTGGTTTGATATACTTATGGCCTAGTGGGGTGTCATATAGAATGTTTTTTAGCTACGTTATTTAGCCCATAGGTATTGTTGTAATGTTTGAGTCACTCACATATCACATGAATACATATTAGACATGGCAAAATGTATAGAATTGCAAGAAAATTAGCTTTAAAACGGCAACATTTTCTCTGCTCCCCATGACAAAATGTGTAGAATTGCAGGAAATAAGCTTCAAACCTGCAACATTTTCTCTCCGCCAACAAGAGGAATGTTCCACAATGCTGGAAGGGGGGCCTGAGTGAAAAAGTTTGGGAACCCCTGATCTAGACTATGTGTATGAGAGAAATGTGACTAAATTGCATGTTGACTTTGAGAAGATGTTCTAGTAGATGGTTCCCTGAGTGGTTCCTGACCATGTGATCTGACCAGGAAAAACTCTGGGTCGATATCTCTAGGCTGTATAGGGCATGGAGTTTTTCCTGGTAAAGGCCTATGGTCAGGGAACACTCAGGGCCTAGTCCTCATTATTAGTTAGCCTTGATGTGACATTGCTTTATATGTGTCTCTGAACATGTTGGGTTCTTTCCTTGACTTGTGTCTCTGTACGATGTTCAGCATGTTAATCATGTTCACCATTCTGACCAACTGTGCTTTTATGACTCTGAGTAACCCCCCGGACTGGGCCAAGAATGTTGAGTAAGTAACTGGCTTATATTTGAGATTTTATTCCTGTAGGTTACTTATTATTGGCTGTGATCCTATTTAATTGACACCTGTTTTTATACATTCCTTGGTAAGACAAAGATACAATTCTGTTTCCAGTGTGAGAATGGATATTTGCTTTTGGGCTCAAGTATTCTCAGACGTTTTTACTGTGAGAAACCAAAAGAAACTCATTAGCATGACAATTAAAACATTGGTTATGCTCCAGTATCCACCACAGGAGGTTGGTGGCACCTTAATTGGGGAGGAAGGGGCTTGTGGTAATGGCTGGAATGGATTACATTTACATTTTAGTCATTTAGCAGACGCTCTTATCCAGAGCGACTTACAGTTAGTGAATACATATATATATGTTTTATTATTTTTATACTGGCCCCCCGTGGGAAACGAACCCACAACCCTGGCGTTGCAAACGCCATGCTCTATCAACTGAGCTACATCCCTGCCGGCCATTCCCTCCCCTACCCTGAACGACGCTGGGCCAATTGTGCGCCGCCCATTAGTCTCCCGGTCGCGGCCGGCTGCGACAGAGCCTGGATTTGAACCAGGATCTCTAGTGGCACAGTTAGCACTGCGATGCAGTGCCTTAGACCACTGCGCCACTCAGGAGACCGATTAAGTGGAATGGTATCAAATATATCAAACACATGTGTCATGACTTGCCCTCATGGGCTGAGGATCAAAGATGCCGGCTAGACAAAGGTTTGAACACCCCCTTTCCTGGGGGCCAGTTTTATGACCGGTTGTAAATTCCTTGCAGAGACTTTATTTTCCATGCCATGTAGTATTGGGAGAGGGAATTTCCCCGTGAGACAAAGGAAGTCTTCCCGCCAAGACTCCAACATCCAAAAGTGGATAATGAAACAATATTCCTACTTAAAAGTATGTGGGAAATGGTCAGTGGCGACTTAAAGAACAATCATGTCAAATTCGTTACTATGTTGTGATGTCATTAAAGACGGTGGAACAACATAACTGTATCTCTGGGGGTGTACACTTCCCAGTTATGAGGTTTGCATCTAATTATTGTATAAAACGAATGATTAAGTATAATAATACTTTTGTGAAGATAACAATGTGATTTTAGCATTCTAGATGAGATGATTGCTTTCCGTATTGATTTGTTCTCAGTCAGTGGCCACGCCCAGATGAGCACAAACATGATGGAACGCCCCTTTTACCCCGAGTGCATAAAAAGCCTTGAAAAACAAATTAACATTAGACCAGCAGATGTGAAGCGTAAGCTAACCGTTACAAAATGGTTTAAAACTACAACTCCATTACCAAAGGAAGCCCCACGGCTTAAAATGGTTGACACTCTACAGACCAGCAGACGTGAAGCGTGAGCTAAACATTGCAAATGGTTGAAGTTCTACAAGACCAGCAGATGTGAAGCGTGAGCTAAACGTTACGAAATGGTTTAAAACTACAACTCCATTACCAAAGGAAGACCAAGCATACTACGGTATAAGCCGGATGTTGCAAATGGTTGCTTTTCTACCAGACCAGGAAGCGTGAAGCTGAAGCTACACGTTACAAAATGGTTAGACCAGAAAGACCAGAAAATGTGAGACGTTATTCCACACGTTTGAAATGGAGAAACTCTAAAACTCTCAACCTCTACACGAGGTGAAGAAGAAGACAATGCACTAGACCTTATCATCTCAGTCTGCAGCTGGCATGTATAGTCATCTAGAGAACTTTTACTAAAGACACGAGTTGAGAGGGACAATCCCTCTCAGACAACCGCTGGTACATCTGAAGTATCCATTCTAACCCCCACTACGACAAGAAACTCTACCAAGGACATTTGGATCTCTGGTGGGCAAACCAGTCCTACATCATCAACTCAACTATCGAGGACAGCTACACGTAAATACATGTTGCATTTCTAATCCGAATGAGCGTTTAGTGGGGTTTTAAGCATTTGTATTTCCATGAGCGTAGTTTCCAAAGTAACCACGATAGTTTGAATCTCTGTCTCTCCTGTCACGCCCTGGCTCTGGGGACTATGTTATGTTGAGCCAGGGTGTGTAAGTCTATGTTTAATTTTCTATGTTGGGCTGAGTGACTCCCAATCAGAGGCAACGAGTGTCAGCTGGGTGTCTCTGATTGGGAGCCATATTTAACTGTTTGTCTTGCACTTTGTGTTTTGTGGTTTCTTGTTCCTTTTGGTTGTGTATCGAAGGACTTCACGTTTCGTTCTTTGTTTTGATCGTGTGATCAGTCGAATAAATATAATATGTTCACCCGCAACGCTGCGCCTTGGTCTCCCTCATTAGACGATCGTGACAGAAGAAACCACCTTAACCAGACCAAGCAGCGTGTTCAGGAGCCATCGCTGGCAGATCTCCGTGGCAACCTCGACTGGATCAAGCAGCGGGACGAGGAGAGAGGATGGACGTGGGAGGAGATGATTGCGAGTCTGGCAAGAGGGAGGAGAGACCCCCAGGAAATTTTTAGGGGGGGGCTCACGACGTCGGGCCAGCAGGTGTACGGGTTAGAGCGGTGCAAAGCGTTGGCAGAGAAGGCCGCCAGGTTAGGGGGGCCACTGGGCACAGAGGAGAGGGAAAGTGTGGAGGCACGGCGAGAGGTACTGGGGTGTGTTACCAGTCCGGTCCGGCCCGTTCCTGATCCCTGCGTGGGGCCAGTGGTGTGTGTCCCCAGTACGGTCCGGCCTGTTCCTGCCATTCCCACCAAGTCAGTGGTGCGCGTCGTCAGCCCAGCCCGGCCTGTTCCTGCCATTCCCACCAAGTCAGTGGTGCGCGTCGTCAGCCCAGCCCGGCCTGTTCCTGCCATTCCCACCAAGTCAGTGGTGTGCGTCGACAGCCCAGCCCGGCCTGTCCCTGCTCCACGCACAAAGCCTACGGTGTGCGTCGACAGCCCAGCCCGGCCCGTTCCTGCTCTCCGCACCAAGTCTGTGGTGTGCGTCGCCAGCCCAGTCCGGCCCATCCAAGCTTCCCGCGCCAAGCCAGTGGTGTGCGTCGTCAGTCCGGCACGGCCCGTTCCTGCTCTCCGCACCAAGTCTGTGGTGTGCGTCGCCAGCCCAGTCCGGCCCATCCAAGCTTCCCGCACCAAGCCAGTGGTGTGCGTCGTCAGCCCTGTCCGGCCCGTTCCTGCTCTCCGCACCAAGTCTGTGGTGCGCGTCGCCAGCCCGGTCCGGCCCGTCCAAGCTCCCCGCACCGGGTCAGTGGTGTGCGTCGTCAGCCCGGTCCGGCTCATTCCTGCTCCCCGCACCAAGTCAGGGGTGCGCTTCGTCAGCCCGGTCCGGCCCGTTCCTCCTCCACGCATCAAGCCAGGGGTGTGCGTCGTCAGTCCAGCACAACCCGTGCCTGGGTCATGTCCGGAGCCGGATCCGCCGCCGAGGCGGAGTGCCCACCCGGTCCCTCCCCTGTTGTGGTTGTTTGGCGCGGCCGGAGTCCGCGCCTTTGGGGGGGGGTACTGTCACGCCCTGGCTCTGGGGACTATGTTATGTTGAGCCAGGGTGTGTAAGTCTATGTTTAATTTTCTATGTTGGGCTGAGTGACTCCCAATCAGAGGCAACGAGTGTCAGCTGGGTGTCTCTGATTGGGAGCCATATTTAACTGTTTGTCTTGCACTTTGTGTTTTGTGGTTTCTTGTTCCTTTTGGTTGTGTATCGAAGGACTTCACGTTTCGTTCTTTGTTTTGATCGTGTGATCAGTCGAATAAATATAATATGTTCACCCGCAACGCTGCGCCTTGGTCTCCCTCATTAGACGATCGTGACATCTCCCTTCCACTCTTACCCTCCTTCTACTCAAGCATTCATGCTATTGTTAGTCCAGTCCACTAGGGACCTGTTTTCATTGTATTATGTTAGTAATCAATAACCTGTGTGTGTGTGTGTGTGTGTGTTTGTATTGTGTTATTATTTAGTTAGTTAGTAAATAAATAATTAAGCCAATTTGTGTATTGCTGATTCATCAATAAGGTTAGAGTTCTTGCAGGTTCAAGGATTATGCGACGTTCAGAATGAGACTGATAAGAGGTCATTATTTAATAAGTGACTGTTATCGATATATAACATATATAGCTTCTAAGAGTTTAATTCGGGAGATGGTAACTCGTTAAACAACTTCTTCCGTGGTGCCCCAAATTCCTAATGAGTTAATTGTTACATGATTAATTTAATCGAGTGACAATTAAACATAGTTAGGTGATTCGATAAATAAATAACAGTCATACATTAAAATAAGTCACGTCACGCCATTCCATTCGCTCTGTTCCAGCCATTATTATGAGCCGGTCTCCCCTCAGCAGCCTCCACTGGAATCCACACAAGCATAACACTTACAATTGTTATGTTGGTATTAAAATTGGAACAGAGCCTACACTGGCACAGGAGAAATTATGTTGGTTTGGCCTAGCCCCGGAAAACAGGCACGATTTTGATTGAAGGTTTTGATTGAATAGGGCTGTTGTTGGTGACTTCCATAGCAACCATCATAATACCTTTCTCTCTTGGTTTGATCAGGTACACCTTCACGGGGATTTACACATTCGAGTCTCTCATTAAAATCTTGGCGAGGGGGTTCTGTGTGGGGAAGTTCACCTTCCTCAGGGATCCATGGAACTGGTTGGACTTCATGGTAATCTCCATGGCGTAAGTATTACCACCGATGTATGTATGACTTCTACTTCCAGCTAGGATCAATAGAATAGGATATTATCTAGCATTGATGACCATATCAACAACAAGCATATTTGAGTATAGGACTGATGTAAGTATTCATCCTAACCAGCGTAGTATAATTAATTTAACACTTCACTACAAAACTGCAACTCATGTCACTATTCCAAATATCAATATACACTGACTGTACCAAACATTAGGAACACCTTCCTAATATTCAGTTGCAATAAGGGATCATAGCTTTCACCTGGATTCACCTGTTCAGTCTATGTCATGGAAAGAGCAGTTGTCCTTAATGTTTGTACACTGCCATGTAACTGGAAGGACTGGTTTGAATAGTGAAGTGAGGACACAGAGGTCTGTCAGGACACAGAGGTCTGTCAGGACACAGAGGTCTGTCAGGACACAGAGTGCCACTATTCTCAACCCTCTAGACCAGTGGCATTCAAACAATTTTTTTTGGCAGAATTTCTGCAGACCCTGTTTTTTTTGTTCTCATGGCCCCACCACACCCCAAATCTAATGGCACAACCTTAAATTGTTACATTTCTATTTTTACATCAACAAATAACAATCAATTCATTACATTTTAATATCCCTTCAAAATGAAAAGAAACCAATATAGTGCATTTTATTGAATTAATTAAACTGTGAAAGTGTGTACTTTACATGTATTCATATGCGCGTGTGTGTGTACCTGCGTCTGTACATGTGCGCGTGTGTGCGTGCACTTGCAAGTATGTCGGGGTACAATGCTGATTTTTAACTGTGCATTTAATCCTGCAGGTATGTAACAGAGTTTGTAAACCTAGGCAATGTTTCAGCTCTGCGCACTTTCAGAGTATTGCGAGCTTTGAAAACTATCTCGGTAATTCCAGGTAAGAGCCTGTGCCTGCTCTCTAACCCGTCAGCCACGGTGTCTTTTGTTTGTGATGTTTGTCGACCCCCCCTTCCCCCCCAACCCCTTGGTTGTCATGGTGTGTGGGCGTGTGCGTGTCCTGTGTGTGTGTATGACTTCCCCCTTCCCTCGCTCCTCCTCCCTCCCCCAAACCTCCCCCCCGCTGCCTTCCCTTACAGATATGTGACAGAGTTTGTGGACCTGGGTAATGTCTCGGCCCTCAGAACCTTCAGGGTTCTCCGAGCCCTCAAAACTATATCAGTCATCCCAGGTGAGAGAGCCCAGGTCAAAGGTCAGAGGTTAAATTTTAAATGCTTAAATGCTAGCAACAAGGCTAAAAGCTAACGGCTAATGGCTAATTCACTCCATTTGAGATACAGTAACTGTTCATCTCACGTTAGCTTAGCCTACCGGTGTTGCCTCTGTCACGCTGCCTTTCCACAGGCCAGTAAAAGCAGGAATCCGGGCCCACTCCATCGAGATGGAAAAGATTCCACGCTTTTAGACACATTACGTTACTTTCACTTTCTTTGTTATCTTGCCCTTTGGGGAAATTAGGTCAAATATTTATGATTTGTTTGCTTTTTTATGCATGAGACATTGCGAAAGCCAATTTGTGTGGTGAGCATTTGTGTCTAGGGTTCCCCCTCCCTCCTTGTTCTATGTTGCATGTATGTCTTGTTCACTGTATATGGTGGTTGATGACTGGGGTTGTGCTAGAGTGATGCTAGGCAATGCCATGACAGACACTCTCACAAAGTTGTCATCTCTCGGTTTCATGGACGAACCAATCACATCATTGGCCCCATGAATAGTGGGGGTCTCTAACCTCAGCCTACATCAGCCCACTTTCTGTCACTAAAACCCCAACACACTTGGTCCCTATCAAACTGAATGATTGCAATTTATCCATTACGTCATTATTACATTGCTGGACAGATCACTAAGTAATGATATGAATATGATACAATATTTGTAGTGATCTGAGTCTATTCAAAAAGAGAATTGGATAATCAACAAACATTAGACTTTCTGTGTAGACAGTTTGCCAGGGGCTAATCTGGGTGTTTTGAACTGGGTTAACACCAACAACACCATCTCTTTGGAGAGATCCATGAGGAAAAGTGATCAGTCTCTACCTCAACCGGCTCCTGTATGAATGCCATACAGAAACCTGACATATGGATCTCCTATGCTGCTTGCTAGCTATCATTGGGGGCTGAAGCATTTCTATATACCTTAGGATTTCTATACTATATTTAGAAACTGTATTATGTATCTATTCAATAAACAAGTTGGAGCTGGTAACCAGGACTGTGTGTGGTCCCTACCTTACAGGCCTAAAGACCATCGTGGGCGCTCTGATCCAGTCGGTCAAGAAGCTCTCCGATGTCATGATCCTCACCGTTTTCTGTCTCAGCGTCTTCGCCCTGATTGGCCTGCAGCTCTTTATGGGCAACCTGAGGCAGAAGTGCATCCGCAACCTCGTCAACGCCACGACCTCCGACGACCTCCTGAACATAACTCTGGGAACTCTAGACTTAAACGGAACTGATTTCAACGGTACTGATTTCAACGGCACTGATTTCAACGGCACTGATTTCAACGTCACTAGCTCCTTCGACTGGACCGAGTACATCAACGATGAGAGTAAGCTAAGAGCTTGTTTTGTCTGCAGGGGCACCGGGGTAATGAGGGTCAAGTTCTATACCTCAGGCAGTATCTGAGTCACACTACTCAGACCGACTTCATATTCTGTGTAATAAAACCAGCCAGCCCATGCCCTGACCACTTTCTATGAAGCAGCGTGATAAAGAGTGACAGCGATTGGCCGGGAGGAGGGGGCAAATGCAAGCAGTGCCTGGTGGGGAAATTGTGGCAAACGTAGCACCCCCCCAGCTCCATACCCTCCTCCCACTTGTCTGGAGAGAGAGAGAGAGAGAGAGAGAGAGAGAGAGAGAGAGAGAGAGAGAGAGAGAGACGAGAGAGAGAGAGAGATGAGAGAGAGAGAGAGAGAGCTGATACTAAGCTCTCTCGAGATATCTACTCTAGAGATAGAGAAGAGCTAAGACCTCTCGCTTCCTCTCTTCTCGCTGCACTCCTTTTCCCCTCTCTCGCTATTTTATCTTTCTCTTTCTCTTCTATATATAAACACTTTCTAATCTCTATATATATATATATTTATATATACAGTATAATGATAATAACAATTATTTTAATGAAGTGCTTTTTATTTATTTCACTCAGAGTCACCCCAGATTGTTTGCTTAATTCATAAATCAGAATACTGTATAAACTTGAAAACCCATTAAGATGATTTGCTCAGTGTCAGTCCTTTTAATCCCGTTTCAAACCTCCCTCCCCTCTTTCCTTCCTCCCTCCCTCCCTCCTTTCCTCCTGCACTCCTCAACATATTGAGTGATTGTTCCTCTCTCTGTTCTTCATTCTAGGTAATTACTATTACCTCTCCAACCGAAGGGACGCCCTCCTCTGTGGGAACGGCAGTGGAGCCGGGTGAGACTTGACAACAAGTTTTATTTATATAGCCAATTACATTCACCGACACAGCCTCAACACGCATACGGAATTACTGAGCACGATTACATGCACACAATAAATACAATTATTGTGCACTGTCAGATTCATATAATAGTTTGTTTAAAACCTTTACATGCTTTGCAAGAAGAACGATTTACCTAATAATCGTGTTTACATGGACACATCTGAAATCAGGCCATTGATACATTTTAATAAATGCAGAAAATCAGCAATCAAAATAAACATTCTACCCCAGTGAACATGTTATTTTTGCGAAGACTATTTGATTCTGAGTTTGGACATATGACGGTTTGTATGTGGAAACTATTTCTAAGATGCATACTTTCAGTTTTTCCGAACTCACTTCACTCACGCATAAGAGGGAGGCTCGCGCTACCGGTGCAGACACATGCGCAGATCAAATAAATCGCTGTAACTCCTATTAAGGTTTTTACATGTCCTAATAATTGGAAAGATTGCTCAGAAATCCAGGTGTTTAATCGGCGTATGCTTACTTCGATTATGACCTTAAGATAAGCAGAGTAAGGTGTTTACATGACTAATGCCATACTCTGCCTTCTGCCATAATCAGTTTAATATTGAATTATTAGTGTGCATGTAAGCGTACTCACTTGTTTCCTCAACACTTAGGCATTGAAGAAAGTCTAACTAGAATAGAGCACTTGGCGCTAATACAAGAGAGTGGAGAGGACTATACTATTTCAGCAGAATTTAGTTGGTTAAGTTGATGCAGTCAAGTCAGTCGAATAAAAACAAGTGCTACTTACTGTGGATAGTGTTAATGTAGTCAGGCTGATCTAATAAAATGAAATCATATTCAGTGTAAGTGCAGTCAAGTCGATCTAATGAAAACCAGTGCTGCTCAGTGGACACTGTAAATATCCACTGTATTGCTCTGTACTGTACAAGCAGTCTGTGGCTGTGGTTTAGTGACCTGTGTGTATACAGTTGGGCTCCACCACGTTTGCTGACCTGTGTGTTGTGTATGGGGGTCTCCACCACAGGTTGTGTCCAGAGGGGTTCACGTGCATCAAGGCGGGCAGGAACCCAGACTACGACTACACCAGCTTCGACTCGTTTGGCTGGGCCTTCCTGTCCCTGTTCAGACTCATGACCCAGGACTTCTGGGAAAACCTTTACCAACAGGTGGGCCAAAGCTATTAGTTAGAAACAAAATGGCCGCTCACTGTTTGCTGATTTGATATATTTGATCCCCTTTTAGTGCTTTATCATTGAAAATAACAGTGAAACAACTCAGGAATACTGGTGAAGAAAATAAAAACAATTCTCCCACTCCTCTCTCTCCTCTTCTCTCTCTCTCCCCTTCCCTCCCGCTCTCCTCCCCTCTCTCTCTCTCTCTCCTCCTTCTCTCTCCCTCTCTCTCTCTCTCTCTCTCCTCCTATCTCTCTCTCTTCTCCTCTCGCCTACTCCTCTCTCTTCCCTCTTCCCCCCTCCTCTCCTCCCCCTCTTCTCTCTCCCTCCCCTCCTCTCTCTCTCCCTCCCCTCCCTCCTGTTTCTCCCTCTCTCCTATCTGCTCCTCCCTTCTCTCTCTCTCTCTCTTCTCCTTCTCTCATCTCCTCTCTCCCTCTCTCTCTGTCTCCCCCCTCCTCTCCCTGCCTCCGTCCCCCCCCCCCTCCCAATCCCTCCCTCCTAGACCCTGCGAGCCGCGGGGAAGCCCTACATGATCTTCTTTGTGTTGGTGATCTTCCTGGGTTCCTTCTACCTGGTCAACCTGATCCTGGCTGTGGTGGCCATGGCCTACGATGAGCAGAACCAGGCCACCATAGAGGAGGCAGCCCAGAAGGAGCAGGAGTTCCAGGCCATGCTGGAGCAGCTCAAGAGACAACAGGAGGAGGCATTGGTAATGTCTGATTTCTGATTGTGTATTTGCATCGCAAAGTTGGACTTTTTTAACATTTGCATTTGAGTCATTATCCAGAGCGACTTACAGTAGTGAGTGCATACAGCCAAAGTCCTCCCTGTCTTTCCCTTCCCTGGCCTCTATTGCCCTTCCTTTCTCAAATCCATAATCCTCTCTTGCATAAGTATGTCTTGGTGCTTGCTTGGTGTCAAGCTTCTACAGACAAGGGTGCTCCATTACTATGGAAACAAGAGGTAGCTAGAGAAGGAATAATTACTCTCCAGTATTGGTAGTACAGTATTAGCTTCCATGGAGGGAGGGAGGTTCCCTCTCCATCTGCTTCACATCATTTCTTATTTACAATAACAGCTTGACCAAGAGACCAGTAATGCAATAATAACAAAAACATGGATATCACAAGATTTTATATAACGAGTAAAAGCATGGTTGCTTTTGAAAAATGAATGATATTTTGGCTCCCATGCTTTTTGTTGTTGTAAATGAATCCACAGTGATTTGGGTTATGCAGGGCTTGTTATTATTTCAAAGAGCAATCGGGCTGTTGACTTGCTTCAAGAACAAATAACCTTTTAGTCTTTACCAATTTCGTTAAGAAAACTGTCTGTTTGTGGGACAAAACACAGGCCTCCATTTTTAGAAGTTCTTTGAAGCTGATATGGGTATTTGTGCTGCCTGCCGCTCTGCTCTGTGCTCTGTCCACCAAAGACGGGTGCCGGTTGCCGTGACAACTGTGCTTGTTTGTGATTGGCTGGCAGGTTGCCGCGGCAGCAGCCACAGAGAGCCACGGAGAGTACAGCGGGAGAGAGGGGCCCTCCTCAGAAACCTCCACGGGGACCTCCAAACTCAGCTCGAAGAGCGCCAAGGAGAGACGGAACCGACAGAAGAAGAGAAAACAGAGGGAGGAGGAAGAGAGGGGCGAGCACGAGACGTTCCACAAGTCAGAGTCGGAGGACAGTATCAAGAGGTTAAGCTTCCGGTTTTCGATAGATGCCAACCGGCTGTCCTACGAGAAGAGATGCTCCTCACCCAACCAGGTGAGCACACAGTGAGGGGAAGGGTCATCATCGTCATCAACGTCATTGTCTTAGTCACCATTGTCCTCATTACCATCATCTTCCTCATCACTCCACTGAGCAGCGTGTCCACTGAGTCACTCCAATCATGCTGATCTCTCTTCTTCCGTATCATCGTCTCCATCACCTCCATCCGCCTCCTCCTCCTCTTTTTTAGTACTGATACCTTTCTCTTCCCCTCCTCCCTCCCCTCTCTCGCCTCCCTTTCCCTCTCCACCAGTCTCTCCTCAGTATCCGCGGCTCCCTCTTCTCCCCAAGGAGGAACAGCCGAGCCAGCCTGTTTAGCTTCAGAGGCCACGCCCGCGACGTGGTCTCCGAGAACGACTTCGCCGACGACGAGCAAAGCACGTTCGAGGACACCGACAGCCGCCGCGGCTCCCTGTTCGTGCCTTGCCGTATCGAGCGCCGCTGCAGCACGGTCAGTCAGACTAGCCTGGCCCCTCAGCGCGTCCTGCTGCCCGCCAACGGCAAGATGCACTGCACCGTGGACTGTAACGGCGTCGTCTCGCTAGTGGGAGGGACCTCAGTGCCCACCTCGCCTGTAGGACTGCTCCTGCCTGAGGTGAGCTTTCGTTTTTATCAGTCCAGGCTCCAAATAGTATTCCATTTCTTTTGATTGAGCCAGATGACCGGGTTTGCACTTTTGGGATTATTCCATTGGTTCCATTGCCCAGCTAAAGTATTTGACAGAAAATAAATACTATTTGAAATGAACCCAACATGGTTGGTATAGTAATGGAGTCCCTTGCAGGCCACCTAATCCATACACTGAATAACTCTTCCAAATGTTTCTTGGTCTCCAGGGAACTACCACTGACTCTGAGATGAGGCTGAAGAAGAGGAGGTCTCGACAGGCTTCCATGGTCTATCTAGATGAGCCAGACAGAGCCAGAGCCAGAGCTATGAGTGTGGCCAGTATTCTCACCAACACCATGGAGGGTTGGTGTCACACCAAGTTCTTACATAATGTTATTATACCAAACCAATGAATCAAAGATCTTGAAGACCCATAGCCTACAACAACCATTGTAATGTGTATGCCATCAATAAAGTGTCCTCCTTAGCATTAGAAAAGCTTGATAGCACTTTCCTGAAAGTCAACTACAGTTGAAGTCGGAAGTTTACATACACCTTAGCCAAATACATTTAAACTCAGTTTTTCACAATTCCTGACATTTAATCCTAGTAAAAATTCCCTGTCTTAGGTCAGTTAGGATCACCACTTTATTTTAAGAATGTGAAATGTCAGAATAATAGTAGACAGAATGATTTATTTCAGCTTTTATTTCTTTCATCACATTCCCAGTGGGTCAGAAGTTTACATACACTCAATTAGTATTTGGTAGCATTGCCTTTAAATTATTTAACTTGGGTCAAACGTTTCGGGTAGCCTTCTACAAGCTTCCCACAATAAGTTGGGTAAATTTTGGCCCATTCCTCCTGACAGAGCTGGTGTAACTGAGTCAGGTTTGTAGGCCTCCTTGCTCGCACATGCTTTTTCAGTTCTGCCCACATATTTTCTATAGGATTGAGGTCAGGGCTTTGTGATGGCCACTCCAATCCCTTGACTTTGTTGTCCTTAAGCCATTTTGCCACAACTTTGGAAGTATGCTTGGGGTCATTGTCCATTTGGAAGACCCATTTGCGACCAAGCTTTAACTTCCTGACTGATGTCTTGAGATGTTGCTTCAATATATCCACATAATTTTCCATCCTCATGATGCCATCTATTTTGTGAAGTGCACCAGTCCCTCCTGCAGCAAAGCACCCCCACAGCATGATGCTCCCACCCCCATGCTTCACGGTTGGGATGGTGCTCTTCAGCTTGCAAGGCTACCCCTTTTTCCTCCAAACATAACGATGGTCATTATGGCCAAACAGTTATATTTTTGTTTCATCAGACCAGAGAACATTTCTCCAAAAAGTACGATCTTTGTCCCCATGTGCAGTTGCAAACCGTAGTCTGGCTTTTTTATGGTGGTTTTGGAGCAGTGACTTCTTCCTTGCTGAGCGGCCTTTCAGGTTATGTCGATATAGGACTCGCTTTACTATCGATATAGATACTTTTGTACCTGTTTTCTCCGGCATCTTCACAAGGTCCTTTGCTGATGTTCTGGGATTGATTTGCACTTTTCTCACCAAAGTACGTTCATCTCTAGGAGACAGAACACGTCTCCTTCCTGAGCGGTCTGACGGCTGCGTGGTCCATGGTGTTTATACTTGCATACTATTTGTAAAGATGAACGTGGTACCTTCAGGCGTTTGGAAATTGCTCCCAAGCATGAACCAGACTTGTGGAGGTCTACACATTTTTTTCTGAGGTCTTGGTTGATTTATTTTGATTTTCGCATGATGTCAAGCAAAGAGGCACTGAGTTTGAAGGTAGGCCTTGAAATACATCCACAGGTACACTTCTGACCCACTGGAATTGTGATACAGTGAATTATAAGTGAAAGAATCTGTCTTTAAACAATTGTTGGAAAAATTACTTGTGTCATGCACAAAGTAGATGTCCTAACCGACTTGCCAAAACTATAGTTGGTTAACATGAAATTTATGGAGTGGTTGAAAAACTAGTTTTAATGACTCCAACCTAAGTGTATGTAAACTTCCGACTTCAACTGTATATGATATTTTATACTTGTTATACATGCTTATAACAAGTCATAATGCCTTATAGCCAAAATGTGGACATGTATACATGCCAACAGGTGGCAGGTAGCCTAGCATTTAAAAGCGTTGAGCCAGTAACCGAAAGTTCGCTGGTTCAAATCCCTGAGGCGACTAGGTGAAAAATCTGTCTGTGCCCTTGAGCAAAGCATTTAACCTTAATTGCTCCTGTATGTCGCTATGGATAAGAGCATCTAAAATATAACTAAAATGTTTTTAAAAAATAACAAATTAAAAGGACATTATAAAGTGTCACCAAAATATGTCTGTTTTAACCCTTTCCAGAGCTTGAAGAGTCCAGGCAGAAGTGTCCACCATGCTGGTATAAGTTTGCCAACACCTATCTGATCTGGGACTGCTGTCCTATGTGGTTGAGTTTCAAGGGTATCGTCAACACGGTGGTGATGGACCCCTTCGTGGACCTGGCCATCACCGTCTGTATCGTCCTCAACACTCTCTTCATGGCAATGGAACATTATCCCATGACCAAGGAGTTCAATGATGTCCTCTCTGTCGGGAACTTGGTAAGTGTTCGATATTATTAAGGTAAACTTGCAAGGCTTTTCTGTTAAAGAGAGACTGTTACTGGGGTGGATTTCTCCCCTAACCGGCCATTTCTAATTGGACATTTTTTTCTTCACACAATACATCTATTTATATATTTTTTACTCCCAAACCCTCCACTCAGCAGTCTGCTAGCAGATTTAAAATGTATGGTGAAAAAGAGACACAGATAAATAAATACCTTACATAGTACATCTATTGAACAATACTTCACAATACATACATCAGAAATAGTTACAAATGATAGAGATCCATTCATGGATGTACAGGTCTGTTGGATAAGAGTTCCGAAATATCCGTTGCTGCTTTTTTCATTGCAAAAGTATTTTTAAGGACAATCTCTTGCACCTGATATAGCTTTTTCCTCAAAGTCACATGTGCTACCTTCCAAATCCCCATCCTGTTATTTTTCACAGTTTCAGCCACCAAGTTGGCCACATACTATTTAAACTGTTTATATCCACTATCCATAGGGCCAAATATGTATGCCTAGCCAAGCTTAACCCACACACTACCCACACAACCATTAACACTCATTCTATGGAAATATTTCTAACCGTGCTCAAATCTAACTAATGTCTCTGTCTCTGGCTCTATGTAGGTGTTCACAGGCATCTTCACGGCTGAGATGTGTTTCAAGCTAATCGCTCTGGACCCCTACTATTACTTTCAACAGGGATGGAACATATTTGACGGCATCATCGTCAGTCTGAGTCTGATGGAGCTCGGCCTGGCCAATGTAGAGGGGCTGTCTGTGCTTCGGTCTTTCCGATTGGTAAGATCCCACTTCTGACACCAGTTTCTCCCTAGTCGACCCTGTCAGAGCAGATTGTGTACCTTCTAGTCGCCACGTTTCTACAGGAAACATAACTCTACTACCTCCCTTAGCTGAATAACAGTTGCCCTTTCTTTTACATACTCCTTGACACAGTGGTAATATTCATCTTCATCCTTTGTTGATTGATGCTAGCTAGATGTTAATACCATAGTCACAACCAGGTACAACAAAATAAACTCCTCATTTGATTCTTCTTGTCAACAGTTGAGGGTGTTCAAACTGGCCAAGTCTTGGCCCACCCTGAACATGCTGATCAAGATCATCGGTAACTCGGTGGGAGCTCTGGGTAATTTGACACTGGTCCTAGCCATCATCGTGTTCATCTTCGCCGTGGTGGGCATGCAGCTGTTTGGCAAGAGCTACAAGGAGTGTGTGTGTAAGATTGCAGACGACTGCCAGCTGCCGCGCTGGCACATGCATGACTTCTTCCACTCATTCCTCATCGTGTTCCGGGTGCTGTGTGGGGAGTGGATCGAGACCATGTGGGACTGCATGGAGGTGGCTGGCCAGAGCATGTGCCTCATCGTCTTTATGATGGTCATGGTTATAGGGAACCTGGTGGTAGGTGGCTTTACTGTTGTCATTATATATCCCAAAATCCCCATATCTATGGATGACTCACTGTACTCACTTTTATATTTTCTTTCATTTGCGGTAAGAGAAAAATGTTGAATCTTTCGTGGTCAATTTGTGTTTGACACTGGTGCAGCAAATATGTTTTAAGCATTGCCATATTCACGTGATATGCAATTTTCAATTTGAACTGAATCTCCAAATTAACAACTGAACCCAGATCAGAATGGACTCCAACTTTTCCTTTCCTCCCTCCGTCTCTGCAGGTCCTGAATCTGTTCCTGGCTCTGCTGCTCAGCTCCTTCAGCGCAGACAACCTGGCAGCCACGGACGACGACAGCGAGATGAACAACCTGCAGATCGCTGTGGGCCGCATCCAGAGGGGCGTGGCCTGGGTCAAGGTGACCATCCGTCAGGTCATCCAGAGCCTGTTTCTCGGGGGCGGAGCCACCAAAGGGGTCAAGGGGGGGTCACTGGAGGAGGACAAGCCCCTGGATGAGCTCCACAGCTCCATCAACGGCAATGGGGGCAACTGCATCTCAAATCACACATCAGTCGAGATCACTAAAGATCCGAGTGGGGTCTATCTGAAGGAGGGGAACGGGCGGCCCGGAGGTGGGTTGGGGGTGGGGCTAGGAGATAGTACGGAGAAGTACCCAAAGGAGGAGTGCCACTACATGTCGTTCATCCACAACCCCAGTCTGACAGTGAGCGTGCCCATCGCGGTTTGCGAGTCGGACTTTGAGACTGCGATCACAGAAGACTTCAGCAGCGACTCGGCCTCCGAGGACATGTCGATGGGCAGCAAAGAGGTAAGAGAGGAGGTTTGACTAGAGACCCGTGTGCTGCTCTGTTCAGTAGCAATGTGCACAGTCACATCACATCTTCTACTTGTGGTATCTTTGAGTGGTGTCTGTGTTAGTTTTGAGTGGTGTCTGTGTTTGTTTTGAGTGGTGTCTGTGTTCGTTTTGAGTGATGTCTGTGCTAGTTTTGATTGGTGTCTGTGTTCGTTTTGAGTGGTGTCTGTTCGTTTTGAGTGGTGTCTGTAATAGTTTTCAGTGGTGTCTGTGTTAATTTTGAGTGGTGTCTGTTCGTTTTGAGTGGTGTCTGTGTTTTGAGTGGTTGTGTTAGTTTTGAGTGGTGTCTGTGTTCGTTTTGAGTGGTGTCTGTGTTCGTTTTGAGTGGCGTCTGTATTCGTTTGGGCTAAATATAGCCCAACTCTATAGTATTTGAATGCTTTTGTTGTATTTGACCCAGGTCTGCTGTGTTTGATGTAGATCTGTGTAAAGAGTCAGTGGTGTAGTGGAAAGGAAATGCACGTAATCGGCGTTCACACACCTTTTTATCTTGCCAGGCATTTACCAACCTATCGCAGAAAAATGCATAGACAATATAAGCAGCGTTACTTTGTTCACCGCGAACGGTGATCAGTGTTTACACACCTATTCTTTTTTACCACACCATCACTGGATAGAATCTGAGAACTCCAGACTTTCCAGAGGCAGTTACCAGCTAGATATTTTGCTGACTCATTCAGCCATTGCATGATGTCTTTCTAGCCTAGTCCACTATCCAGGGAATTGTAGTGTGCTGTTGTAAAGCGCTAGGCGTCAAAACAATAACGTAGCATGAGAGGACAGTACAGTCGCAACAAATAATGAGTCAGAATGGCCTATGGCCCAAGAAGCAGGTCGTTTCTGTATGTTCTCATTAGATAACTATAACAGGCTGATGTGTGTGTGTGTGTGTGTGTGTGTGTGTGTGTGTGTGTGTGTGTGTGTGTGTGTTATCTGGTTGACTGAGTATACAGGTGGGCAAATGGGTCTCCATTATTATATGCGCTTGTTGAAGAAATAGTTTAAAGCAGCGTCCTCGCAAAGGGTGAAGCGAAATGAAGTGTGTTTGTGTATGTGTGGATGCTCATGGATGTGTGTGGATGATCATTTCTCACACATTGAATCCCTTTCATTAGAAATCACAACATCTTTATGACATTTTTAATGGACTTTCAATTAATGCCGGAAGACAGAGAAAGGACTTACAATATCCCACTCACTGGCCTATACACACATACATTACATTCTGGAGCAGATGTTGTAAATAAGATGTCGAACAGTGTGTCTGCTTCAAAGACACAATGTCATGTTAGGCTAGGAGGGTAAGCTGGCCTTCTGGGCTCTGTTACCACACCCCCAAATCTCCAGACCAGAGCCAAGTACAGGGAGGGGAGTGGAGCTGAGCCTACCTACTGTAGTGTTGCCAACCTGCCCCTAGCCAACTCTTTCAGTTATTAGAGAAAGCTAGCCTGATCTGTTTCTGGTCATGACTCCCATTGCTCCAAATATGGATTAGACGTCACTGCTAATCCCCGATCCCCCTTATAAATAATAGCTAATTAGTCTATTTATTGGGAACGTGATCATCAACCGTGTGTGTGTGTGTGTGGGGGGGGGGGATTTTGTGCTATGAACAGTACAAGGTAAATGTGGTCCTCACAAACTGTTTAATCCTATTCTATATCATCCTAGAGCCTTGTCTTCTAAAGTTTATCTGCATGGAAGTGTTTCTCTGTGGATAACCTGTGTCCCTATGTGCCTTGCAGCTGATAGATGAAAACAGACATAGAGGTTGTACTGTACAGTATGAGCTGGCTCGTGGCTGTATCACTTTACCTTGTTTAACCCACCGTTTGTTATTGCAGCTGTGTTACAGACCCTCACAAGGTTGTCAGTGAGAGAGAGGAGACTTGTAAGACCATTTTATTGTACATAGCACTAACCGTGAAGACTGCCTATGCCATTTTACAGAACCAACCAATATTTATCTTGCATTTTTTTCAATGGATTGCCTATTTTTTCATTCTCTGGCTGACTACCCCCCCCCAACTGCTTTCCTCGTCATCATCTGCTGTGATCCCTGACTTTATTTTATTTTATCCCCCCTTCATCTCATTTCTTTATTTCTAATTTCATCGTCAGGCTTTTTTATAGTTTCAACACCATTATGAATGAGCTGCACCCACTTTTTTCCATTGATAGGCGAAGTCATGTGACTTTTTATTGCTTTTGATTTCCTTGCTTGGTTTGTATTGATTTTGGAGGTGATTGGCATTGTACACCCCAAGATTGAGAAAAAAGAACAGAGAATTGATGAAGAGAGAAAAGGAGGGGAGGAGGAGACAAAGATGAAATCAATTAATTTTGCCTGAAGTACTGTAGGTTAAAATCACGAGGGTTACATTTTCTCCCTGTACAGATCTAGTGAATGTTTTGGAGTCTGAATATTAGTCTCTTTGAACCCCTGGTAGATTAGCAGTTGCATACTGTCAGCCATACCATACTGAACTGATGCAGCAATTATAGCAAACACCCAAGTGAAATCAAGACACAAATTACATATTGCCTTCCAAAAGCATGGCAGGAGGGCACCCTCAATTTATATATAGTCTTCACCCTGAATTGGAAGAGAGAGAGAGAGAAAAAGAGAGAGAGAGTCTCTCTCTCTCTGAGTCACTGTCTGCAGGTGGGGCGCGGCAGGCAGGCGGGAGAGAGAGAGAGAGAAGGATGAGAAAATGTGCGAGACAGAGAGAGAGATAGCGCCACCCCTCCTTCTGGAACATTGTGTATCTCCGGGCGGGAGGGGCGTGGAGTGGGCAGGGTAGCATGCTTCCCTCATCACAAGTCCGTATTAGCTGGGTCCCACAGCAATCAGACCTGCTGCACTGTCTAGTACTGATGGCGTGTTACTCCTCTGTCTGCCAGCCAGACGTCCCAAACTCCCTAAAGATTGCACCATGTTTTACCAATGAAAACTGGGATTCCACCTACGGAGCTAAGCTAAGCTAGGCTAGACCTTCTCACCATACAGTACACAGAACACTGTATTGCATATACAGTTGAAGTCGGAAGTTTACATACACTTAGGTTGGAGTCATTAAAACTCGTTTTTCAACCACTCCACACATTTCTTGTTAACAAACTATAGTTTTGGTAAGTCGGTTAGGACATCTACTTTGTGCATGACACAAGTCATTTTTCCAACAATTGTTTACAGACAGATTATTTTACTTATAATTCACTGTATCACAATTCCAGTGGGTCAGAAGTGTACCTGTGGATGTATTTCAAGGCCTACCTTCAAACTCAGTGCCTCTTTGCATGACATCTTGGGAAAATCAAAAGAAATCAGCCAAGACCTCAGAAAAAGAATTGTAGATCTCCACAAGTCTGGTTCATCCTTGGGAGCAATTTCCAAATGCCTGAAGGTACCACGTTCATCTGTACAAACAATAGTACGCAAGTATAAACACCATGGGACCACACAGCCGTCATACCGCTCAGGAAGGAGACGCGTTCTGTCTCCTAGAGATTAACATACTTTGGTGCGAAAAGTGCAAATCAATCCCAGAAGAACAGCAAAGGACCTTGTGAAGATGCTGGAGGAAACAGGTACAAAAGTATCTATATCCACAGTAAAACGAGTCCTATGTCGACATAACCTGAAAGGCCGCTCAGCAAGGAAGAAGCCACTGCTCCAAAACCGCATAAAAAAGCCAGACTACGGTTTGCAACTGCACATGGGGACAAATATTGTACTTTTTGGAGAAATGTCCTCTGGTCTGATGAAACAAAAATAGAACTGTTTGGCCAAAATGACCATTGTTATGTTTGGAGGAAAAAGGGGGTTGCTTGCAAGCCGAAGAACACCATCCCAACCGTGAAGCACGGGGGTGGCAGCATCATGCTGTGGGGGTGCTTTGCTGCAGGAGGGACTGGTGCACTTCACAAAATAGATGTCATCATGAGGAAGGAAATGTATGTGGATATATTGAAGCAACATCTCAAGACATCAGTCAGGAAGTTAAAGCTTGGTCGCAAATGGGTCTTCCAAATGGACAATGACCCCAAGCATACTTCCAAAGTTGTGGCAAAATGGCTTAAGGACAACAAAGTCAAGGTATTGGAGTGGCCATCACAAAGCCCTGACCTCAATCCTATAGAGAACATTTGTGGGCAGAACTGAAAAAGCGTGTGCGAGCAAGGAGGCCTACAAACCTTACTCAATTACACAAGGTCTGTCAGGAGGAATGGGCCAAAATTCACCCAACTTATTGTGGGAAAATTGTGGAAGGCTACCAGAAACGTTTGACCCAAGTTAAACAATTTAAATGCAATGCTACCAAATACTAATTGAGTGTATGTAAACTTCTGACCCACTGGGAATGTGATGAAAGAAATAAAAGCTGAAATAAATCATTCTGTCTACTATTATTCTGACATTTCACATTCTTAAAATAAAGTGGTGATCCTAACTGACCTAAGACAGGGAATTTTTACTAGGATTAAATGTCAGGAATTGTGAAAAACTGAGTTTAAATGTAGTTGGCTAAGGTGTATGTAAACTTCCGACTTCAACTGTATATATTTCAAAAAAATCTCTAGAACTGTACTATGGATTACTTGCATGGATTGCAGGGCTCTAATGTCAAAGTGTGCATTATCATCCAATGCTTATCCTGCCAATAGTAAAGAATAAGGACAGTACTAATATTTGATTTGATTTATTCAGCCCTCCGACATTATTTCCTCTTAGAGGGACATTTCCTCTTTGTCTCCAGTGGTAGGAAAGTCACGTTAGAACACCCCATTTAGCTGTATCTCCCATGTATGTTTTCTGGGTAGCATGGTCATACTACATCTATTGTTATATTAGTATGAATTTCATTATTATTATTATTATTCGATAGCTCCAGACCTCATGCTGTCTTGTAAACAGTGCACAGTACTGGTTTTTGCTGGTTAGCTAATGTGGTAATACCCATTTATTTACCGAAACAGAGACCGAAGCTTGTGAACACTGCTTTTTTTAAGGATTGGAAAAAATGTTTTTTCATGTCAATGTGGAAAATGTTCAGTATTTCGGGGGAAGGAGGGAAGAGGGGGGAATTTATTCGTTATTGTCTTTTGATCGATGAGGCTATCAGCCAATCAAATGATAAATCCTGGGTAATTTTTCAGTGGACATGAAAATGCGTCAGCCCACGTTCTCTTGCTTGTTTTCCGATTTCAGGATTGGAAATGCACTGGAATACTGCATGCCCCCTTCGACTGTCTGAGCCGGAATCAAACATACCCACAGTGCATTGTAACACCAACCTCTCCCTGTAGCATGTATTGTTGCTACCTGGAGCTGTATAATACAGTGTGATTGGATCTCCCCTGATCAAATTGATCTCCAAGCCTGTCGGTACCTTTGATCGACGCTGCATGTAAAGGTGATGATGATAGTGATGATTATAATGATGAAACGAGTACAACTCTGAGTTTATATTCAAGCCAAAGTCATGTCTCCAGTCCAGACCAAAGTATCTGGTGAGACTACTGTACTGTTACAGTCCATGACAATGGAGAATGAACCATTACAAGAATCTCAAGAATCATGAAAGTGGCTCAGAAGGTTGTCTCCTGTATGGAGGGAGGTGGTGAGAAGAGCTGGGGCTGTGTTACTGTAGGCATTGGCTGGTTAAACGTACTGGTTCTCCCCCCCCCCCCCCCCCCCCCCCCCTCCCTTACAGAAGCTACCTATAGAGCCCCAGCACCTTACCTCTTCGGAGGGCAGCTCGGTGGATATCGGGCCCCCGGGGGATGGAGCCGAGTCAGTGGAGCTGGAGGACGAGGAGTCAGAGGACCCAGAGAACTGCTTCACTGATGGTGAGGGAGGGAGAGGAAGAGAGGGGGGAGAAGGAGGGAAGGAGGAGGGAAGGGGGAGAGGAGGGAGGAGGAAGGGAAGGGGAGAGAGGAAGGGAGGAGGGAGGAGAGAGGGTGGGGCTGAGAGAGGAGGAGGAGGGAGGGGGAGAGGGGTGGGAGAGAGAGGAAGGGAGGGAGGGGGAGGAGGAGCTGGGAGAGAGGAGGGAGAGAGAGGGGAGTGGAGAGAGAGGAAGGGGGAGAGGAGAGAGGGGGGGGGGGAGGAGGAGGGAGGGAGGGAGGGGGCTGGGAGAGAGGAAGGGAGGGAGGGGAGAGGGCTGGGAGAGAGAGGAAGGGAGGAGGGGAGAGGAGCTGGGAGAGAGAAGGAGGGGGAGGGGAGAGAGGGGGAGGAGAGAGAAGGGAGGGAGGGGGGAAGGAGGAGAGGAGGAAGGAGGAGGGAAGGGGGGAGGGGGAGAGGGGCTGGGAGAGAGGAAGGGAGGGAGAGGGAGGAAAGGAGTGGGAGAAGGAGAGTAAGGCCCAGAGAGACTGACAAAGACAAAAGTGTTATCTTTGACATACTTTGTCCTTTCACATTAGAAGTGGTCTAGAGGGAATTCCGAGCTCTGATAGGGGGAAAAACTGTTTGAAAAATGTGAGGACAAGTTTCTTTCAGTCAATGTTATTTCAAATGACAAGGCATTATTTTCTACTCTCTCTCTCTCTCTCTCTCTCTCTCTCTCTCTCTCTCTCTCTCTCTCTCTGTCTCTCCCTCTCTGTCTCTGTCTCTGTCTCTGTCTCTGTCTCTGTCTCTGTCTCTGTCTCTGTCTCTGTCTCTGTCTCTCTCTGTCTCTCCCAGGCTGTGTGCTCAGGTTCCAGTGTTGCCAGGTGAACGTAGAGGAGGGCAAGTGGAAGATGTGGTGGACCTTGAGGAAGACGTGTTTCATCATTGTGGAACACAACTGGTTCGAGACCTTAATCATTTTCATGATCCTGCTCAGCAGTGGAGCTCTGGTGAGTGGCTGCTGCTCACCTGGTCTGTGTAATGTTGTACCGCCCCTTTAAGAACGTAAATGTCAAATAATTACATTCTGCTTACTTTGATGTAGAGTGAAGATGAGCTTTATGGCTTCTTGGTTAGCCTGACACTTCTGCTTTGAAGTGAAAACTGAAACGTTTATTGGTCAGCGTGTACTCATCAGTAGAGTCGAGTCTGGACAGGGAAAACTCTGATCCATATGCATAACTAGGGCCCAGAGTATTTCCTGGTCAGGTCTTGTGGTCAGAATAAACTCAGAGCCCTACGTTTCACCAAATAACCACCAACCTATGTGACTCAAAACACTTGACAAACATGTATGAAAATGTATGCACTCACTAAACTGTAAGTCGCTCTGGATAAGAGCGTCTGCTAAAATGACTAAAATGTAAAAAATGCTTGACTCCTTGTTTGTGTCTCCATGTAGGCGTTTGAAGACATTTACATAGAGCAGAGGAAGACCATTAAGATTGTGCTGGAGTACGCAGACAAAGTCTTCACCTATATCTTCATCCTGGAGATGCTGCTGAAATGGGTGGCCTACGGATTCAAGAAGTACTTCACCAACGCCTGGTGCTGGCTGGACTTCCTCATTGTTGATGTATGCATTTGCTGGAGTTGTATGTGAACTCCGTACACACGCGATGACCTTGAACACGCTTTGTCAGCAGATGAAATCAAAAAGTATTAGATAGCAATTTAAAGTGACATTTTTTACAGATTGTGTTTTGGTTTGTGTAAACACAAGATTCTCCTTGTGCGAATGTTTCTCCTGACATTGTTATTCCTCTCCTCTTGTCTCTTCTATGTTTTCTCTCTCTCTGTCTACTTGTCCTTCTCTCTCTATTCTCTCTCTCCTATTCTCTCTCTCTCTCTCTCTCTCTGTCTCGGTCTCTCTCTCTTCCTCTCTCTCTATTCTCTGGTCTCTCTCTCTCTCTCTCTCTCTATCTCTCCTCTGGTCTCTCTCTCTCGCTCTCTCTCTCTGTCTCTCGATCTCTGTTTTCTTCTCTCCTTCTCCTCTCTCTCTCTCTCCTTCTCTTCATCTCACTCTCTCTCTCTCTCTCTCTCTCTCTCTCTCTCTCTCTCTCAGGTATCTCTGGTGAGCTTGGTAGCCAATGCGTTAGGCTACTCTGAGCTGAGTGCCATCAAGTCCCTACGAACACTGCGGGCCTTAAGACCCCTGAGGGCCTTGTCACGGTTCGAGGGCATGAGGGTAAGGGTTACTGGAGAACATGTTTCATGCTGAACTGCAATCAGAAAGAGCCTCTCAAGCAGCTTTTATTATATTTTTTAGATAGAAAGTCCACTGCAATTGAGTCTCTTGAAAATAACTAAATGTCATAACTAAGTGCCTTGTTACATTTTACATCTTGTAGCATTCTTAGCCGCAGTCCTTTTTAAATGGCGTAGGCTTCTAGAAGGAAGAAAATAGGAACCAGTGATGTATTTTATATGGATGCATGCCTGTGTATAGAGCTAGATTTCTAGATATGTCTCTCCTTGTGTGTATCTGCATGACTTTCTCCACATTCTGTCGATAGATTCTATATCGATGTTCTCTGACATTGCTCTGCCTCGATGTTGCTTGTGTGGGGCCTTTTGATGTATAATTATTTTCTTTGTGTGTCTTTTCATTTACAGTAAACAATGTTGTGACTTCATCCTGACTCTTCTAAGGTTTTTTCTGTTTTGCTTTTTACCTTTTGAGTGGTTAAATGTGCTCTATCGCAACTCCTTTGAAAGAGCGTTTCTACCCTTTCACTTTCCTCAAATAGTTAACTGTCAAACTCTTGTTAAACCTCTGTGGTAGTGCCAGTAACATGCTTTGTACTGAAAATAACACAGTGAAAATACTGTACACATATTCTCATGTGTTCCTAAACCTAACACAATATCCCTATATTACCAGCGCCATTAACCCTCCCTATACATATATTATTACATGTATTATTATCTATGGTAACCAGGTTTCTTGGATGAGACTAGAAATACATGTTTTCTTGAGCAACAAGAGTGTACATTTCAGCTTCAACTTTATCTCACTCAACACTCTCACATCTCAAGAAAATGACTTTCTAGTCCTATTGATCGAGCGCTCTAACCGTGTCATCTTTGATTGACACAGGTGGTGGTGAATGCCCTCCTGGGTGCCATTCCGTCCATCATGAACGTGCTGCTGGTGTGCCTCATCTTCTGGCTCATCTTCAGCATCATGGGCGTCAATCTGTTCGCAGGGAAGTACTATTACTGCGTCAACACCACCAACGACGAGACCTTTCCCATCGAGGTCGTCAACAACAAGAGCGACTGTCTGGCCCTGGCCAATGACAGCGCCCGATGGAAGAATGTCAAGATCAACTTTGATAATGTTGGGGCCGGGTACTTGGCCTTGTTGCAAGTGGTGAGTGGGATAGGCATGAGGGCAGGGTCGGTTGTCTGTTGGCGTTTTACATTGTTCAGGAAGATTATGCTTGAAATCTGGTTTAAAAGTGTTATATAGTTATATAAAACATTAATATAATGTTAATTATAATGTTAATTTACACTGAGTGAACAAAACATTAGGAAAACCTGCTCTTTTCATGACATAGACTGACCAGGTGAATCCAGGTGAAAGCTATGATCCCCTACACTACAATCAGAAGGGGAGGAGACAGGTTTGATTGAGACATGGATTGTGTATGTGTGCCATTCAGAGGGTGAATGGGCAAGACAAATTATGGTGGAAAATAAGTATTTGGTCAATAACAAAAGTTTCTCAATACTTTGTTATATACCCTTTGTTGGCAATGACACAGGTCAAACGTTTTCTGTAAGTCTTCACAAGGTTTTCACACTCTGTTGCTGGTATTTTGGCCCATTCCTCCATGCAGATCTCCTCTAGAGCAGTGATGTTTTGGGGCTGTCGCTGGGCAACACAGACTTTCAACTCCCTCCAAAGATTTTCTATGGGGTTGAGATCTGGAGACTGGCTAGGCCACTCCAGGACCTTGAAATGCTTCTTACGAAGCCACTCCTTCGTTGCCCGGGAGGTGTGTTTGGGATCATTGTCATGCTAAAAGACCCAGCCACGTTTCATCTTCAATGCCCTTGCTGATGGAAGGAGGTTTTCACTCAAAATCTCACGATACATGGCCCCATTCATTCTTTCCTTTACACGGATCAGTCGTCCTGGTCCCTTTGCAGAAAAACAGCCCCAAAGCATGAAGTTTCCACCCCCATGCTTCACAGTAGGTATGGTGTTCTTTGGATGCAACTCAGCATTCTTTGTCCTCCAAACACGATGAGTTGAGTTTTTACCGAAAAGTTCTATTTTGGTTTCATCTGACCATATGACATTCTCCCAAACTTCAGACGGGCCTGGACATGTACTGGCTTAAGCAGGGGGACACGTCTGGCAATGCAGGATTTGAGTCCCTGGCGGAGTAGTGTGTTACTGATGGTAGGCTTTGTTACTTTGGTCCCAGCTCTCTGCAGGTCATTCACTAGGTCCCCCCGTGTGGTTCTGGGATTTTTGCTCACCGTTCTTGTGATCATTTTGACCCCACAGGGTGAGATCTTGCATGGAGCCCCAGATCGAGGGAGATTATCAGTGGTCTTGTATGTCTTCCATTTCCTAATAATTGCTCCCACAGTTGATTTCTTCAAACCAAGCTGCTTACCTATTGCAGATTCAGTCTTCCCAGCCTGGTGCAGGTCTACAATTTTGTAGATTTAAGTGCCTTTGAATGGGGTGTGGTAGTAGATGCCAGGCGCACCGGTTTGAGTGTGTCAAGAACTGCAACGCTGCTGGGTTTTTCACCCTCAACAGTTTCCCGTGTGTATCAAGAATTGTCTACCTCCCGAAGGACATCCAGCCAACTTGACACAACTGTGGGAAGCATTGGAGTCAACATGGGCCAGCATCCCTGTGGAACGCTTTTGACACCTTGTAGAGTCCACGCCCTGACAAATTGAGGCTGTTCTGAGGGCAAAAGGGGGTACAACTCAATATTTGGAGGGTGTCCTAATGTTTTGTACACTCAGTGTATATTCAGTATGCGTGGCGGTGTTGTTTTTTACCTTTTATGCCACATTTATGCTTTCAAATCAGTGTAGAGCATTTTTTTGTTCGAGACATAGCTTAGCACCTTTCACAGAGTATTGTGACTGTTCATTTAATATTTTCTACCTGCTACCAAAATAGCTCTGCTTAACCAAAAGTAGTGGAGCGGAGCCTGACTGCAAGGCTGCAGCAAGGGAACAGGGAAGTCAGATGTAAGTAATCACTTGAGAGTGACCCCTCAGAGAGTAACTCATTCTGTTCTCTGTTCTCTGCTTCTAGGCAACGTTTAAAGGTTGGATGGACATCATGTACGCAGCTGTGGACTCTCGTAATGTAAGTGTTTCTTTGGGGCTCTGGTCATGGAGAATGGTTGACAGTTTAAAGTCAGGTTGACTCTTGTATCTAAGGTTTTGAGTTTACATTTTTTATTGGAATATTGGTGTTTTTATGGCTTTCGTCATTTTTTAAAATATATATTCCCTTAGGAATGTCCCGTAAATAAGGGTTTGACTTGAATATGGTTGAATATGTGCAATGATTAGACATTTTGATGTATACCTTTCTTTTTTGTGTTTCAGGTGGAATATCAGCCCCAATATGAAGAGAACCTCTACATGTATCTCTACTTCGTCATCTTCATCATATTTGGGTCCTTCTTCACTCTTAACCTCTTCATTGGTGTCATCATTGACAACTTCAACCAACAGAAGAAAAAGATACGTATTCAGTAGTGACCAGGTGTTCGTATACACTGCGATATTGATAGCTCAGTGTTTATCAAACCTGCTGCTAGCTGAGAGATTATTCTGAATACAGCAGGCATATGAGTCACCCCCGCCACACACACACACACACACACACACACACACACACACACACACACACACACACACACACACACACACACACACACACACACACACACACACACATTCACCTTCCAGTTGTAAATAGTGCTAACACAGTGAATGCAGTCTCCATGATACAGATACAGAGACCGAGGAGACAAGAGAAAGATAAAAAGATAAAGAAAGATCTAGGAGAAAGAGAAGAGCATAAAAAAGTGAGAGATATAGAGAGGGATGAGAAAGAGAGTGAGAGATCTGAAAAGCGTGCCTTGTCCTGAGCTAACAGTGACTGAAAGAAACTTGAGAGAGAGACAGAGAGACAGACAGAGAGACAGAGACAGACAGAGAGACAGAGAGACAGAGAGACAGACAGACAGACAGACAGACAGACAGACAGACAGACAGACAGATGCTCTGGGTGTACGTGTGTTAGGTTTTTACCAGGTTTTGTGTTGTTCCCTTTACTTTGGAGGTCAGGACATCTTCATGACAGAGGAACAGAAGAAGTACTACAATGCCATGAAGAAGCTCGGCTCCAAGAAACCCCAGAAGCCTATTCCCAGGCCAAAGGTTTGACGCTGATATTGACACCTATTGATATTACAATAAGCATTCAACCAAGCAGTAGCTCAATATTTAAGAATGTGTGTACTGTAAAAATTCTAATTGTCACAGTATATTTCATGATTTCTATCGCTCTCTACCTCTCTCTCTCTGTTTTTCTCTCTCCCGTCATCTATCTTTCCATTCTAGAATGCATTCCAAGGCTGTGTGTTTGACTTCGTAACGAAGCAGGCTTTTGACATTGTCATCATGATCCTCATCTGCCTCAACATGGTCACTATGATGGTGGAAGAGGACGAACAGACACCAGAGAGGGAAAAGATCCTCCACTGGATCAACTTTGTCTTTATAGTGCTCTTCACTGGGGAGTGTACGCTCAAAATGATATCCCTCCGCCATTACTACTTCACCATTGGCTGGAATGTGTTTGACTTTGTCGTTGTCATCCTTTCAATCGTAGGTAAGAACCCTGACTCTTCATAGTCGTTTGAATCTAAATGTAGCATTCAGAATGAAATGTTTGGAGTTGTAACTGAGAAAATGTATGTGTTGAATTGGTTTTTGTCTCTGTCCTTACAGGTATGTTTTTATCAGAATTGATTGAGAAGTACTTTGTTTCCCCAACGTTATTCCGAGTCATCCGACTTGCCCGAATTGGCCGCATCCTCCGTCTCATCAAGGGCGCCAAGGGCATCCGGACACTTCTGTTCGCCTTGATGATGTCACTTCCTGCCCTGTTTAACATTGGCCTCCTGCTCTTCCTGGTCATGTTCATCTACGCCATCTTCGGCATGTCCAACTTTGCCTACGTCAAGCACGAGGCGGGAATCGACGACATGTTCAACTTCGAGACGTTCGGCAACAGCATGCTCTGCCTGTTCCAGATCACCACGTCGGCGGGCTGGGACGGCCTCCTGGCGCCCATCCTCAACAAGAAGGAGCCCGACTGTGACAGCCAGATGGAGCACCCGGGCACCTTGTACCGGGGCAACTGCGGCAACCCGCCAGTGGCCATGTTCTTCTTCGTCAGCTACATCATCATCTGTTTCCTCATCGTGGTCAACATGTACATCGCCGTCATCCTGGAGAACTTCAGCGTGGCCACCGAGGAGTCGGCCGAGCCGCTGAGCGAGGACGACTTTGAGATGTTCTACGAGGTGTGGGAGCGCTTTGACCCGGACGCCACGCAGTTCATTGAGTACGACAAGCTGTCGGACTTTGCAGACGCGTTGGACCCGCCGCTGCGAATGGCCAAGCCCAACCACATCCAGCTGATCAAAATGGATCTGCCCATGGTCAGCGGGGAGCGCATCCACTGCCTTGACATCCTGTTTGCCTTCACCAAGCGTGTCCTGGGAGAGGGTGAAGGCTTGGACCTACTCCGGGGCCAGATGGAGGACCGCTTCATGGCCTCCAACCCCTCCAAAGTCTCCTACGAACCCATCACCAGTACCCTGCGGCGCAAGCAGGAGGACATGTCTGCCATGGTGATCCAGAGGTCCTTCAGGCGCTACCTGGCCCGACATGCCCTGAAGAAAGCAGCAGAGCTCTACAAGGAGCAACCTAGAGGCGGTGTGGTGTGCGAGCTGGAGGAGAAGGAGGTGCTGGTGATAGGGCAGTTCGCGGACAACTCCACCTCCACAGAGAAAACGAATATGACGCCCTCCACCGCCTCACTGCCTTCGTACAACAGTGCCACAAAGACGGAAAAGGACAAATATGAGAAATAACAGAGGGAGAAAGAGAACAGAGACAAAGATCTGAGAGAGCGAAAGAAATAAGCAAACAAATGGACAAATGATTAGTACTAAGACGTTTGCTTTGAAGGAAAACTTGTTTACAGTTTTGGGGGGTCGATGTATGCTAAATGCTAATGTGTTGGTGAAGGGTGTGTGGTGGTGTTGGGTGCTAGGCCAAACTGACTGAGTGTAGCTAGCTAAGGCTGAGGCCAGATAGCAGGTTTGGAGCCATGTAATGGGACTGTTTCAGAGGGTTACATATTAACAAGGCAGGGGAAGATAGCCTCTTGTTATGTATCACTGCCAGGAGTAAGTGAAAGACGGCAACTCAAAAAGCAGCTGCGAAACCGCTTGTGATTTTCTGTTGAGTGTTGTTACTATCTGACACACTTGAGTATACTGTGAAGTCGTCTGTAGCTAGTGCTGCTGCTACCACTATACATCCAGTGTCTTGAATAACGATCGCCGTGTTACTTAAGGTTCTTGCATTTTTGTATAATTTCTTTTTTTTAATGGTAAGGAATATTTTATCGTGTAATTGTGAGAATGTGTCCACTGCTTTTCACAGTTGTAAAAATGCCATGTACAGCTAAACTCAGCGACTAAACAAATCCATGTTCCAATACTAACGCCACATACGTTTTGTTACTCCCAGAACTCTTTGTGCTCAGGCAGCAGTTTTCGTGGGAATAAGCATAGATACTGTATGTGTAACCGACCGGGTTTCAAACCCAGATCTCCTGCACACCACAAGACTGTGCTAGCCCGCTGAGGTATGGTCTGAGACTTAGCTCGGGGAGCTAACCCGGGTCTTCAGGTCTCAGGCAAGGTTACTCATCACGTGAACGTAACATTATGCACAAGCTTAATTCCACAACCTATCATCGGTGACACTTGGTAAAGATGTATCTTCTATCTATATGAATTGTTATTGTTCTCCCCTTGCTGTTTCCATGGACACAGAGATCCTGAATGTATGTCAACAGATTAAATGAGAGGGATTCAATGAGAGCTTCATACAACTTCTTTCTTCATTTTCATAGACATTCATTGTCACAAAGCAATGTGTCTAACATATGTATTTCGATATCTCTCTATCTCTCTCTCCACTAACAAACTAACAAAAATATAATAAATGGAACACATTGATGGTCTTTTTCAAAAGTGTCTAACTCCATTATAATATGTGCGTATGATACCTTGCATTTAGAGTTTAGCACCCGTCTAAACTGCATACTGTACTCATTGTTCATTAATAATTTTAATTTAAAACCTGATCCTTTCAACATAGTGATTTGGTTTGATTTACAGTATGGTATACTATATGATCCCACAGTATGAATAACACTTCCATTTTATGTAAGAGCACTTTTTATATTTTTATGGCCACCCCCATGGATATTATGTGAGCGTGCGCATGTGTGTGTGTGTGTGTGCGTCCGTGCGGGCACGCGTGTGTGTGTGCGTGCAAGTGTGTGTGACTGGGGTCTACAGTTTACTTGTATTACAAGTATTATAAATAGCACTTTTACAGTAGATACTGTTGCTTTTTAAAGTAACGTTTAGGTTGCCATTTTTCTATAACTCGTTTTACATTCTGCACACATTGACACATGAAACACTTGTATGGTCCACATTTCTGTAGATATGAACCATAAAGCAATCGGCAGCCATTTTTCCTTCAGCTGGTATGTTAGTGAAGGGCATGCAGGTCAGGACTAGTATCAGTTCATCTGCTAACATGAATGATTAAAACATTAAAAATAATTGTTTAAAAAAATTGTACACACCTGTTACATTTCTCTTTAAATGTTCAACCTGTTATGTTCAATGGTTAGGCTATACTGTCTGTGACATGGGTTTTCAGCTATGCTCTACTAGAAAGTATGATGATTGCTGGATATTGATGGATATTTGGTTGAAGGGATCATCCATGTGGTTGAATTACATGTTACACTGAAATGTATACATTTGCAAATGTGTGACGAGTGACATTTTTGTTATAACCAAAGATGTGACCACAAAACACAAAATCAAGATTTCCAAAATAAAACCGATTTTGGAAAGCATACTTTGCACAAATAATATTTTCATTCAGATTAAACTGTTGCATTATGCAATCTATTGTTAGCATGTTAAATGGTCAATAGGCAGCAGGGAGACATAGACGAGCTGTATACAGAGGGAGAGGCTGAGATTACCTCCACCCTTACTGCCTCAAAACACTTCTGATCCTGCCGCCAGATTCTCCCCTGCTGTTGCTTGGCAACCTTACGTCACAGCTCCCCCGCTTGTGATTGATCAGTAGTGTCTCCCAACTGCCTACCCACAATACCTTGCTGCGAGCAGGCATGTCCTTCCCTCCTTCCCTGCATCAGAAAAAAACAGAAGCCATGGAATACACTTGTTATACTGTAAAATATTACAGTATATGCATAGTATCAATGAACTGCCTTCATATCCCTGTGCTTTAATCCATACAAGTCCTTTGTGTGCTCAGAACCTGCTGTAGTGGGGGTCTGTTTGAGTAAATGGTAGTTTAATACACACCCATGGGCAGTGAGCCATGATATCGTCCCCATACAGGAACAGATTAGCCTGTATGAGGTTGGAAGACAGGACCTAACCTGCCTGCCACCAAAGAGAGGACTCCCTGCAAAACAAGGTCAGTGGCTCCCCCTAGAGGTGGGGAGACACACGGCCAGTCTGAGTAGCAATTCTGGCTGATTTTAGTGTGCTTTTCAATAAACATGTTCTATGAGTGCTTGTTGACTGGCTCAAATCATGCAGTAGGCTGAAATTATGTGCTCAATTAAGTACTCAAATGCTGTCATTATAGTAGGTTGTTATGTCTGTTGAACTCTTGAGAATAATTTCCATGATTACCTAACAATAGTTGCTCAGCAACAGCACAAATGGGCAATAAATAATACCCCCCCCCCCATAGGCAAACACAGTAAGCAAGGGAATTTTGGTTTTGTCATCAAGTTCCATTGAGTCAAACCGTACAACCTATTATCATTTATTGTATTTGTATTATTATGTAATTTTGATAAATGTAATACAGATTCTTTCAATGTTGTTGCTTAACTCCTCACTAAGCCATAATTTAGACATTATTACATCTGTTGTCAACTATCAAGTTAAGGATGCCGTCTAAAGGTATAGCACAGGACTGACATCTAAATAACCCCAGTAGACTGACTGATTTCACAGTCAGTTTAAAACCAACACCTTGTTCCTAATGTATTTTCTAAATATTTCTCAATTCACTACAATCACTACTTTTGAATGTATGAACAGGAACAGAATAGTATTAGCTATAGCTGACTTTATGCTAAATAATTATACATATATCCTGGAATAATCAGTTGCTGAGACATTACTGAAATAACTCCTCAAATTCATGACATAATGTAGAGGTCTTCAGCGCTAGACAGCAGTCTTAGATATGTGTTACCCTGGGAAACAGACACATTCCGGAGAATCCATCTCACTCTGGCTCTGTCGGGGCGGACAGACAACATGGCACTGGTTTTCTCTGGGGATTTCAGAGGCTACATTTGTAACTGAAAAATGGGATTGACACAGTCTTTTTTTTAAAGAAACTATAAACTGAAATAGCCATATTTATGTTTAGGATATATATTTTGTATTCCTTTAATAATTACAACAATACATTACATTTCTGATATGTATCATTCATCTTGACAAAATGTCAAGGTCATAATAATCCGTAACCAAAATGAATGACAAGGGACACAATTATTCCATTTATTTATTCTCAAAGTCTGATGTTTGTGGAAAAGGAAAAAATGGTGGTATAAAAAAGAAGAAGAGACAAACAGAGAAAATCTATTTTGGCCCCCAGTTCTAGGCTGTCTTGATAAACAAATAGACATTCTGGAACAAAACTAAACAGAACAGGAAGTCTGTGTCCCAAATACCCTATAATGGCACTACTTCCTTGTTCAAAAAAAGTGCACTACAGTGGCTTGCGAAAGTATTCACCCCCCTTGCCATTTTTCCTATTTTGTTGCCTTACAACCTGGAATTAAAATGTTTTTTTGGGGGGGGGGTTGTATCATTTGATTTACACAACATGCCTACCACTTTGAAGATGCAAAATATTTTTTCTTGTGAAACAAACAAGAAATAAGACACAAAAAAAACAGAAAACTTGAACGTGCATAACTATTCACCCCCCAAAGTCAATACTTTGTAGAGCCACCTTTTGCAGCAATTACAGCTGCAAGTCTCTTGGGGTATCTATAAGCTTGGCACATCTAGCCACTGGGATTTTTGCCCATTCTTCAAGGCAAAACTGCTCCAGCTCCTTCAAGTTGGATGGGTTCCGCTGGTGTACAGCAATCTTTAAGTCATACCACAGATTCTCAATTGGAGTGAGGTCTGAGCTTTGACTAGGCCATTCCAAGACATTTAAATGTTTCCCCTTAAACCACTCGAGTGTTGATTTAGCAGTATGCTTAGGGTCATTGTCCTGCTGGAAGGTGAACCTCCCCACAGCAGGATGCTGCCACCACCATGCTTCACTGTGGGGATGGTGTTCTCGGGGTGATGAGAGGTGTTGGGTTTGCGCCAGACATAGCGTTTTCCTTGATGGCCAAAAAGCTCAATTGTAGTCTCATCTGACCAGAGTACCTTCTTCCATATGTTTGGGGAGTCTCCCACATTCCTTTTGGCGAACACCAAACGTGTTTGCTTATTTTTTTCTTTAAGCAATGGCTTTTTCTGTCCACTCTTCCGTAAAGCCTAGCTCTGTGGAGTGTACGGCTTAAAGTGGACCTATGGACAGATACTCCGATCTCCACTGTGGAGCTTTGCAGCTCCTTCAGGGTTATCGTTGGTCTCTTTGTTGCCTCTCTGATTAATGCCCTCCTTGCCTGGTCCGTGATTTTTGGTGGGCGGCCCTCTCTTGGCAGGTTTGTTGGGGTGCTATATTCTTTCAATTTTTTTATAATGGATTTAATGGTGCTCCGTGGGATGTTCAAAGTTTCAGATATTTTTTTAGAACCCAACCCTGATCTGTACTTCTCCACAACTTTGTCCCTGACCTGTTTGGAGAACTCCTTGGTCTTCATGATGCCGCTTGCTTGGTGGTGCCCCTTGCTTAGTGGTGATGCAGACCCTTTCAGAACAGGTGTATATATACTGAGATCATGTGACAGATCATGTGACACTTAGATTGCACACAGGTGGACTTTATTTAACTAATTATGTGACATTGAAGGTAATTGGTTGCACCAGATCTTATTTAGGGGCTTCATAGCAAAGGGGGTGAATACATATGCACGCACCACTTTTCCATTATTTATTTTTTAGAATTGTTTGAAACAAGTTATTTTTTTCATTTCACTTAACCAATTTGGACTATTTTGTGTATGTCAATTACATGAAATCCAAATAAAAATCCATTTAAATTACAGGTTGTAATGCAACAAAATAGGAAAAACACCAAGGGGGATGAATACTTTTGCAAGGCACTGTATATATAGGGAATAACGTGCCATTTGGGACACACCCCAAAAAAAACATGAGCTCTGTGCACTTCAAGGCCTTCATGACAAAACAGACTGCTGCGAGAATAAACCACAATAAATACCCATTTTCACATTGACAGCAATATAGACTACCAGATCATATCTACAGCAGAATAGCAGAGACTGGTACAGACGTAGCTTAATTCAATATAGATCACCTGAACATGAATGCTTTGGCACCCTTAAGCTACACACACCTCATTGGCTGACGTGATAGGATGTCACAGGATGGGAGAGAGGAGAGAGAGGTCATGAGAGAGCGAGAAAGAGAGAGAGAGCGAGGACAACCATAAAGGGGCTAGATAAAGAGGCACAGAACACTTTGTGATGGAGTAGGTCCATTCCTTCCTCAATCACTCCAGTACCCCTGCACACTGTAATAACAGTACTGGCACTGTACTGACCTGTACATAAGAACTTTCTAGAACTGTATTCTCCTGTTTCTTTTTTCACATTTCATGTGTTTTATTTCTTATCTATATTACTACCTTTATTGTGCATTATTGGGTAAGAGCTCGCAAGTTAAGCATTTCACTGTACTGTTTTACACCTGCTGTATCCTGTGATTGTGACAATAAAACTTGATAACAAATCATAATAGCAGCACTGAAAATACAGCTTATCTCAAGAAATTGAGCAAGATGTTTAAAACTATCTGATATTACGTTGATTTTCCAAGTTTCATGGTCCTTTTGAAAATGGACCTAAATGTAGTGGTAAGGCTAGAGACGATCATAAGTCTGTGGCTCTAACTTTAGTAGCTTGGAGGATTGTCCAATCTAAAATAAAGTATAAATGTTCTTTAATTTGTTTCCTTTTGACATTCTCACTGTATATTTAAAAAAAACTAATTTCATTTTTAAATGTGGTATTTTCCTTTTAACAAAATACATGCTAAGTATTCAACATCTATGAGACAACACAAGTAAGCACGAGACCAACGCTTAAGAATTGTAGTACCTCAAAATCGTGTTGATTTGTCATCAATACTAACCACAGCATGCTCTCATTATCAAAACATACATAATATTACTATACTTTGTATAGACATAAATAAACTGCAGCTATATACATTTTCCAGTTCACTCCATATAAAAGTTATATCTACTAGGGCTGTGACTATACCAGTATCGCAATATTCTTTCCATGTAGAAAATTAAAAGATGAAACAGACCAAACTATTTGGTCCTTAAAAACCTGCTGTATGTAAATATTATGTGCTATAGCTTGGAAAATAAATACATGTGACTCTGGTTGACAACATAATGTTCGTTTCCAACATTAGGGATGTTTTCCTAAAGAAGTTAAATCCGCTTCCTGTTTCATTTCATTGCCATGCTACTAACAAGTATCGCGATACTGATATTGTCCCAGCCCTACTGTCTATTTTAGTTAATTAATTTAACTCAAATTAGATTATCTTTTCATTTCCCCATTCAACATGGTTATATTATTGATATAAGGAATAATTTTGTTTAATTCTAACTATTTCACAGCATTGTCCAATACCTGTTAGACATTCAGATCCAGGAAATGGAAACTGTGTGTGCAATGATGTGCAAAGATCCTTCTGAGGCAAAATCCCACAATTTGCCTTTGCAACCTAATCGTTCACGTTAAAGGTGCATTCATCAGGAGTTATAACAACAAACACTGTCCTTCAGGTTCTATTCAATCAAACTGGCAACCCGGTTTCTAGGATAAGTCAAAAGCAGCATTATTCCTGTACAGAAAATGAATTGATATTGACATCATGTAGTTTCACTAGAAAATGAATACTTTGGGATTTTAGCAATGAAGCCCATTATCTACTTCCCCAGTCCCAGTCAGATGAACACATGGATAACATTTTTATGTCTCTGCATCCTGCATCCAGTACGAAGGAAGTTAGAGGTAGTTTCGCAAGCCAATGCTAACTAGCGTTAGTGCAATGACTGGAATTCTATGGTCACAGCTCGCATCTGTTACCATAGACTTCCAGTCATTACGCTAACGATAGTTAGCAATTGCGCTAACGCTAGTTAGCAACTTCCTTCAAACTGCATGCAGAGACATAAAAATGGTATCCACAAGTTCATCTGGATCTGGGGAAGTAGATAAAGGTCTTCAATGCCAAAATCCTGAACTATCCCTTTAATAAAGTTGGTCAGCACATTAATCCAAATGTGCATTCTTGCTGCACAGGAATGCTAATTTGACTTATCACACGAACCAGTTTCGATTGAACTTTCCGCAAGTCTACCTGACACTATGCTAGTGACTTCAGTGTTAGTCTCTAGAATTGGTGGGTCCCTTTCATTCTCAGGTAGGAGAGAGGAAACCTCAGCCAGCCCGTTGAAAGACCCCTGGCTTTGCTGCTCCTTAGTCCCCACAGATACCTCAGACCGTGTGCTATTCTTCAGTGACAGTGTAATATCATTACCGTCTGTCTGAAAAGCAGATTGACAATTATTGTCATGAGTCTTGTCCTGTAGGCAGAACTGAGCGATTTCCCCTTAGATAGGCCAGCTGCAGAGTCAAAATTGGCTATATTGTAAAAATTCATGTAAACTAAAATGTGCTTTTTGGTCTTAACTTAAGGTTAGGGTTAGGCATTAGGGTTAGCAGTGTAGTTACATTTAGGGTTAAGGTTAGGTTTAAAATCAGATTTTATGACTTTGTGGCTGTGCCAGCTAGTGACCACTCTGCAGAGCTGCCTCCAGAACAAGATTCGTGACGAAAACTGCTAACCTGCGTCTGAAAGGGCTGCTCATGGTGTAGTTCACTAGTCTCCCCACTAGGGGGAGTGTTGCTCTGCTGGGGGGCTGAGGAACAGGCGTTGGCCACCGGTGCTTTGTCAGAGTGGGGAAAATGCATATACTGTCCCTCTGCCTGGCTGAGGTGGTCTGTGTGCGGCTCGGAGGTGGTTTTAGGCTGCTCCTGTGACACAATCGTGGGGCTATCGGTGGCCCCCTCCCTGTTAGGGAGTGAGAGGGGGAGTGAGGGAGCTTCACTAGGGGCTTTGGGTGTGGGGTTCAGGTTGGCTGAGTTGTCCATCTGGTAGTACCCTGTTGAAGGGTTGTGGTAGTATGAGTTGGGGTTAGTGCGGTTGGTGTTGGTGTGTGTGCCGTCAGTGTATCCCAACACAGAGGAGAGAGGAACCACCTCTGTGTGAGAGACTGGGGGTCCACTCACCCCCTCCTCCATAGACTCACAGTCATCTTCCTCCTCCTCCTCTTCTTCCTCAGAGTCACTAGTGTGCAGGCTGTCGGTGCTGCAGTCCGAGAGGCCGCTACATAAACTACTACCATCGTCCTCATCCTCGTACTCCTCGTCATCATCTTCCTCATCTTCGTCCGCTTCCTCTTCTAGATGCTGCTCTGTGTCGCTGGCGCTCGGCAGGTGCATGATGGGAGCCTGCGGGACTGGGATGTTGTCAGACATTAGGGAGTACTGCAGAGCCCGCTGCACGGGGACGTTGACTGGTAGTTCTCCGTGGTAACCATTGCCGTTGGTGACCTGCGGCTGTTGTTGTTGTTGCTCACGGCTCTTTTCCAGCTCCAGCTTCATGATGGTGTGCAGGAAGTGGGTGCGAACGCGGATGGGGTTGAACTCGACGCGGCCTGTGCTGTTACTGCAGCCCTCCTTGCTACAGCCGCACGGGAATGACATGCGATCTACCTGTAGAGACAGACAACAAACGTCTCAGTCAGCCTCCAATACTGAACGGTTCCATTTCCAATGAATAACAAACACATAGACAGATGCATAAGCACAGCAGACAGTCAAACAGACAGACAGACAGGCAAAAGGGCAGGCAAACAGCCAGGCAAACAGCTAGCCAGCCAATAGCCAGCCAACCATCATTTAACAGGCAAACATACTGACAGATTTAATTCAGGAGGCCCCTCACCACAGCTCCATTTACCTGGCACTTGATGCCGGCCAGGCTGCAAGCGCAGGTCGTGGGGTGGCACAGCCCCCTGCAGTCGCAGCCACACTCCTCCCGGGACACCCGGATGGCCCGCAGCTCGTGCTTCTCCTCCACGTCGATGCGTCGCACCCCGGACGCCCGAAGGAGAGCGCGACGCCGCCTGGTGGTCATCGGCTGCAGGAAGAAGTACTCGTCCACCTCCGTGTTGTCCAGGTCGATGTCGTCCTCCGAGATGTCATCCAGGGTCAGTGACTCGGCCTCGTCCGACTCCACAGTGCCATTATTGGTCAGCTGGAGGAAAGACACACGAGTAGATGCTGATGCTCTCTAGTGATGTACACTGAGTATACCAAACATTAGGAACACCTTCCTAATATTGAGTTGCGCTCCCTTTTGCCCTCAGAACAGCCTCAATTTGTCTGAGCATGGACTCTACAATGTGTCGAAAGCGTTCCACAAGGATGCTGGCCCATGTTGACGCCAATGCTTCCCACAGTTGTGTCAAGTTGGCTGGATGCGCTTTGGGTGGTGGACAATTCTTGATACACACAGGAAAGTTTTGAGCAAGAAAAACCTAGCAGCGTTGCAGTTCTTGACACAAACCGGTGCGCCTGGCACCTACTACCATACCCTGTTCAAAGGCACTTAAATCTCCTCCCCTTCATCTACACTGATTGAAGTGGATTGAACAAGTGACATCAATAAGGGATCATAGCTTTCACATGAATTCACCTGGTCAGTCTATGTCATCGAAAGAGCAGGTGTTCTTAATGTTTTGTATATTCAGTGTATAATGTACTACTGTATCTAGGCTCTTGTAAAGAGTGTATGTATGCTTTATCTTATAGTATTATATGGATACAAACTCATGCACTTTAATATAAATTGTTGTAGGTGCTTATATATGTGTATCCTTGTATACATGAAATAAATGCTTATCTCCTGTTTATAATACTTTAGGTGGTGTTATGAATCAATTCAATACATAAATGGTTTACACAGGTTGTTCAAAGAAATCTGTTACCACAACACACTGTCCGAGGTCACAGCGAGGTGAGAGGAATCAGCATAAACCAATGAGGGGGATTATTGATAACAATTACATGGCTGACTGCTTGTGTTAGCGCATCCCCTTGTGTTGGATTAGAATCACTGCAATAATGCAGCTGAAAGTGCTAGTGAATACACTGAATAAATTAATCATTATGGAATACATTATAAGGAATGTAAAGGTAATTTTGACTAGAAAGGACTGTGGCACTCAGGTTTTTAATGTAATTTGTCATTAACCTTGAATTCATAACCTAGTCCTAATGCTATCCTGCTTTCCTGGTTATCCCCGGCTTACAAATGGGCAAACATTCCTTCCTCATCTCTCCGCTATGTTAGCTGATTTCTAGCACAGAAATAGTTGCCATGCTACACATTGGTGTATAATGTAATGCACTTTAGGCACTTGGACAAGTACCACTGTGTATGCTTTATGCAATCTATTATTAATAAACTGCATTTGCCACTGCACTGCTGGATACTTTAATACAAAGGCATTAAAGGCACAGTCGAAACCTTGAGTTAGACGGAGTTGACTACCTTTAGTTTGATGGAGTTGACTAGGTAGAGCTGACTACTTTGAGTAAGACTCAGTGGACTACCGTTAGTTATATGGAATTGACTAAAGTTGACTACCTTTAGTTTGATGGAGTTGACTACTTTGAGTTAGACGGAGTTGACTACCTTTAGTTTGATGGAGTTGACTAAAGTTGACTACCGTTAGTTTGATGGAGTTGACTATCTTTAGGTTGACAGACTTGACTACCTTCAGTTTGGCAAAGTTTACTAACTTTAGTTAGACTAGTGGTTCCCAAACTAGGGTTCGCGACCTCATGTGGGGTCGCCTGATATGAAAATGGTTCGTTGGAGAATTTCCAAAATCCTGAAGAAAAAATATATACCAAGATATATATTATAATATCGTCTTTGTATCTCAAAATCATTGTAATGTGGTTAACCTTAAAAATCTAAATGAAAATGATTCCAATCTAAAAGATAAATTGAACCAGAGAGTGCCCTTACATCATGGGAAAAGGCCGCACTTCACTGTTGCACTTTAATCATCCCCACGTTGAATGGCTAGGCCCACTACGCTATGAAACCACACACTATTGCAGAGACCTTGATATTACCGGCCACAATTGATATGGTGAAAACAATGTGTGGGGAGGCAGAGGCACAGAAACTCACATCAATACCTTTGTCAGATAACACTTTTAAATGAAGAATTGATGCTATAACTAGCAATCAAGAGGAAGCTGCCCGAACGACTCAAAAACTCCCCAGCTTATGCTCTTCAAATGAACGTTAGCTGTGAGGGCCGAGATGTCCATGCATTTACTTTTGTTCGCTATACATGTCAGGGGATGCTATTCACAAGGAAATATTGTTCTGTTTCACGATTCCCGAGAATGAAAGGGCACAGGGGATGTTCAGTGTGCTGCGTGACTATATCGATTCCATGGGATCGAATGGTGGGCTTTTGCACTGATGGGGCTTCATCTATGGCGGGACGGCGGGCAGGCCTCTGCATGCACTCTAGTTACGAATGTCTCCCTCTGCCATTTGGATGCATTGCATGATACACCAAGAGCAACTGGCGGCAAAGAGCTGAGCACAGAACTTGGAGATATAATGCAGCAGGTAACTTCGATTGTAAACTACATCAAACCACATCCACTGCACGCACGCCTGTTCGCAAAACTATGTGGAGATATGGGATCAGAGCCTGACAATGTTCTATTTCATACAAAGGCTTGGTGGTTAAAGAGGGGGAGTGTTGGAAAGATTTTTCGCATTGAGAGAGGAACTGTTTCACAATGGTTGACGTGTGGTAATGAAAATAAATGTGTAGAACAGAAGACAGTGAGCGAAAAAAGATTGATCCCTGCTATTTGTCGTTTGCCCATGCAAGACATCGTCTATAATTTAATGAGATTATTTGAACAGTGAAGCAGAAAAAAAAAAAATCCGAAAACGCTGTAAAATGTTATAAATGTTTGATTCTAATGAAATAATTGAACCCTCTGCAAAATTTACTTGTCAAAACCCTTTTTGGCAATCACAGAGGTCAGACGTTTCTTGTAGTTGGCCACCAGGTTTGCACACATCTCAGGAGCGATTTTGTTCCACTCCTCTTTGCAGATCTTCTCCAAGTCATTAAGGTTTCGAGGCTGACGTTTGGCAACTCGAACCTTCAGCTCCCTCCACAGATTTTCTATGGGATTAAGGTCTGGAGACTGGCTAGGCCACTCCAGGATCTTAATGTGCTTCTTCTTGAGCCACTCCTTTGTTGCCTTGACCGTGTGTTTTGGGTCATTGTCATGCTGGAATACCCATCCACGACCAATTTTCAATGCCCTGGCTGAGGGAAGGAGGTTCTCACCCAAGATTTGACGGTACATGGCCCCGTCCATCGTCCCTTTGATGCGGTGAAGTTATCCTGTCCCCTTAGCAGAAAAACACCCCCAAAGCATAATGTTTCCAGCTCCATGTTTGACGGTGGGGATGGTGTTCTTGGGGTCATAGGCAGCATTCCTCCTCCTCCAAACACGGCGAGTTGAGTTGATGCCAAAGAGCTCCATTTTGGTCTCATCTGACCACAACACTTTCACCCAGTTCTCCTCTGAATCATTCAGATGTTCATTGGCAAACTTCAGATGGCCCTGTATAAGTGCTTTCTTGAGCAGGGGGACCTTGAGGGCGCTGCAGGATTTCAGTCCTTCCCGGCGTAGTGTGTTACCAATTGTTTTCTTGGTGACTATGGTCCCAGCTGCCTTGAGATCATTGACAAGATCCTCCCGGGTAGTTCTGGGTTGATTCCTCACCGTTCTCATGATCATTGCAACTCCACGAGGTGAGATCTTGCATGGAGCCCCAGGCCGAGGGAGATTGACAGTTATTTTGTGTTTCTTCCATTTGCGAATAATCACACCAACTGTTGTCACCTTCTCAGCAAGCTGCTTGGCGATGATCTTGTAGCCCATTCCAGCCTTGTGTAGGTCTACAATCTTGTCCCAGACATCCTTGGAGAGCTCTTTGGTCTTGGCCATGTTGGAGAGTTTGGAATCTGATTAATTGATTGCTTCTGTGAACAGGTGTCTTTTATACAGGTAACAAGTTGAGATTAGGAGCACTCCCTTTAAGAGTGTGCTCCTAATCTCAGCTTGTTACCTGTATAAAAAAGATACCTTGGAGCCAGAAATCTTTCTGATTGAGAGGGGATCAAATACTTATTTCCCTCATTAAAATGCAAATCAATTTATAAAAATTTGTACATGCGTTTTTCTGGATTTTTTTGTTGTTATTCTGTCTCTCACTGTTCGAATAAACCTACCATTAAAATTATAGACTGATCATTTCTTTGTCAGTGGGCAAACGTGCAAAATCAGCAGTGGATCAAATACTTTTTTCCCTCACTGTATTTGGGAAACTGAATGAACTGAACGCAAGCATGCAGGAGAAATACAAAAACATTCTACAGACGAGTGACTCAATCAGTGGATTCAGAGGAATGAGTTCTTATTGGATAGAGTCTTTCAAAAGCGGATCATGCCCCCTTCCCTCGGCTGTGCATGTTTCTAACAGAAAACAGCATCAGTAAGTGTCCCACACGAGTGATGACTGATCACCTTCAACGCTTGGAAGAGCACTTTGGGACCTACTTCCCAATCCGTTTGACTGTGATCCTGGCTCAGTTGACATGCCGGTAAGTGAAATCAAACAGCTGATCAAGCTGTCATGTGACTGAATGCATTCACGGGTCACTACGGAGGAGTTTTGGTTCCTGACTCAAAGCGAATACCCTGCCGTCTGCCTCTGAGCATTATTGCCGCGTTCAAAACAACTGGGAACTCGGACCTGGGAACTCGGAAATCTTAGACTGGGAAAAATAGTTTTGAACGTTCATCCAACTCGGAATTCCAACTTGGGAACTCAGGCCTCTTTCTAGAGCTCAGACTTTCCGACCTGAAGATCACCGACGTCATGATTTTACCTTATATTCTTCAGAGTTCCCAGTTGTCTTGAAAGCACCATAAAACTCATGGTACCCTTCGCCAGCTCATATCTGTCTGAAGCTGGATTCAATGCTCTCGTCTACATTAAAAACAAATATCGATCCAGGTTGGATGTGACAGCAGAGATGAGGTGCGCACTGTCGACCACGCCCCCTGACTTTGAGAAGCTCCAACGCGACATGCATCAAGCCACACCCATCTCATTAGTGGTGGTGAGATAAGATACATTATGTCAGACTAATTTGCAATGACTGTCATAGCCCCACATTAAAAGTATGTGATGGTCGCGAGAATTTTCAGATATCAAAATGGGGTCGTGGGCCAAAAAAGTTTGGGAACCCCTAAGTTAGATTGAGTTGACTACCTTTAGTTAGATGGAGTTGACTAAAGTTGACTACCTTTAGTTAGATGGACTTGACTACCTTGAGTTTGATGGAGTTGAGTTTCTCCTCTTTGAGGTGGTCTCGCAGCATGTCTCGGTGGCTTCTCTCCTGCTCCACAGCGAACTCCCCCAGGGTGTAGCGCTGCACCCAGCTGTGGCGCGTGGACATGCCCAGGGTGCTGCCACCCTGCGTGGGCACGCTGGTGAAGCCCTGGCGCCGGCTGAAGTAGTACACCGTCACGCTCTCAAAGTGCACGTTGCGCACCCGCAGGCGCTTCTCACACATCAAGATAGAAGAGGCTGTTAGAGGGAGGGAGAGAAGGAGGGATGGAGAGAGAAGGAGAGAGGAGAGCGAGATGGAGAGAGGGGAGAGAGATGGAGAGAGAGGGGGGGGGGGCATTTAGAGACAAAGTATCACTATAGCTATTGCTGCTGTTGATATCCCTTTGGACCCCTTGGGTGAGTTCTAGCATCCCTACCATCCTCCCTGTCATCTAAAAACCCACAGGGAGCAGGAGCTAGGGGAGATCACCCCCTATGACTCCTAGAGAGAGATGAAATCACACTACTCCCAAGAGTTACTTCCTGTTTCTCTCTATCAATCTAATCCCGCTGAGGCTCTCTATGCTGGTGGTGCTTGAGGGAATCCCAGCTGATTTGAAAAGCAGTAGGTGAGTATGTGGTTCTATTAACTGGGAGTTTTTTCCACTAGAAAGATGTAAGGCTACTCACTAGCACAATGTAAAGATGCTATTTCATTCACTTTGTGTCAAATAGTTGACAGTGTTGTCCAAAGTTGGCAGGCTGGGTGTGTTAGTTAAGCAGTCAAGTGCATGCTGGGTAAGCAACTCACGGGCAACGGGGGTGGAGGGGCCGGGGTTGACACTGTCGCTGCTGTTCCCGCTGTCGCTGCCGGCGGAGACCTCGTCATCGGACCCCTGGAGAGAGAGGCAGGGGGAGGGACTGTCTACCTCCACCTCCTCAAACTTCCTCTTCAGGATCCCACTCATCCTGCTGTAGGCCTACCACCCAACGTCTGCCCCTGAGAGAGAGAGAAAGAATGTTGTAAGTAATGTTATTACCATTATTTCACAAGTGTGTACATGGTCTCTGAGCAAACCCGTGCTACTGTAGATGGTTGCTCAGTTCATGCCATGATGGGCATTGATTTCTCCCAATAGGTATAGGTGATGAGAGTATGTACATCAAGTGTATAAAAGTAAACGTAACATTATGACTATAACTACTGCTCTCTGAAGGAGGGAAACGAGGTACAACATACTATGGGGAGTCGCACTCTCGCGACTTTGGTTGAAGGATCTACAATCACGCCTGACAAGGCCAATGAAATCCGTGCCTTGCTAGAAACCCCGCCTTCCACAGGTGATAAGCGTGAGGCTCGGATTCGTTCCTTCAATTTAGTACCACTCTTCACCGAGCACAGGAACGGGCGGGGGCCAAGCAGGTGTTGTGACCTCATTTCCCTCCTTCAGGGAACAGTAGCCCAAAGCGAGAGCATGTGGGCACTGCTCACCCGCAATAGGGAGCGAGCCAAGGTTAGGAGGGAGCGAGACAGAGTCTCTCCCCGTCGGTTGATGCACACCACCACTGACATATTGTCGGTTCTGATCAGCACAAGCCAGCCCGACAAAAGCAGGGGGAAGCGCCTGAGCGCCAATTTACCATTAGGAGCTCCGGGTAATTTATATGGTGCACTCTGCACCAGTGTCAATACCTCCCAAATCGAGTTGCCTTCGTACAGCGGACCCCACCCTTGGGGGGATGCGTCTGTCGTGATCACCTTGCCGGATACAACTCAGCCCATGGGAGCCCCCTGACAATAGCAGAGGGTCCCACCACTGGGCCAGGGCCAGTAGGCCTGACAGAGACACACTAAGCGACTGGGTTAGACTGCGAGATGCATCCAGGTGAGTGGCTAGCGCTCAGCACTGGAAGGGCTGCATCACCAATAGCCCAACGGGAATGACTTCCATCACAGAAGACATCATCCCCAGTAGGTGTAGGCACTGGTGAAAACGCACTGTGTGACCCTGCCGAAATTTGGCTAACAGAGCCGGAACCCGCACACCCTCCGCAGGGATAGCAAAGGCCCAGAAATGGAATGCGCTGAGATGGAGTCAGACAGCTCTTTTTCTGGTTTCTTATGAAGCCTAGAGACTGAATACGGGAGAGTAGCATGGATGTGTGTAACACTGCTTGCCCCCTCGTGAGCATTGTGAGTTTGTAGACGCTGAGTTCCTTGCTGAGGGCATGTAGGTCTAGAATGGGATGCAAAGTCCTGTCCCTTTTCGGAACCAGAAAATACCGGCTTTACCAGCCATTCTGGATCTTCAACATAGGAACCACACGGATTGCCTGCTTCTGGAGACAGGAGGATATTCCCTCCCTCAAAACGGGCGCTTAGGCCTCGGGAACAGTCGACGTGATGATGCTGAAGAAACGTGGGGGACGCACAACAAATTGTAGCCTGTACCCTGATGTCACTGTTCGCATGATCTAGGGCAGGGGTGTCAAACGTACGGCCCGCGGGCCGGATCAGGCCCGCAAACGGGTTTAATCCGGCCCGCGAGATGATAAAAAATAAATAAATAAATAAATAAATTTGTAAAGTATAAAAATGCGCTGCAATTTTTCAATAAAATAAACTGCTGTTCCAATTGCGTCCACTGGATGGCGCAATAGCAATTGTGTTAAGCAAGCAAACTGTTTATACCGGGGCAGAGCAAGTAGGTCAAGCACGTGCAGCCAATGAGCTACTTTGTTTTGCCCGCGATATTTATTACGGCTTCTACTTTTAACATTATGTGCTTTGGCACCCTCATTGCCCCAATATGTCTCTGTCAAAAAAGAGAAAAGTGGACGCAGAGTGCAGAGTGTTCCAAGAAAAATGGTCATCCTATTTAATCACGGAATTGAATGGGAAAGCTGTATGTTTGGTGTGTTCAGAGCATGTTGCAGTGCTGAAAGAATATAACCTTCGTCGCCACTATGTGAGTCTTCATGCCGACAAATATGACAACTTTCAAGGACAGCGGAGATGAGAGAAGGTGAATGAACTGTTGGCGGGTCTGAAGAAACAGCAGTCTGTGTTTACTCACAGCCGAGACATCAGTGACGCTGCAGTGAAAGCTAGCTACCTCATTGCTAATGAAATCGCAGTGGCTTCAAAACCATTTAGTGAGGGTGAATTTGTAAAAACATGCATGATGAAGGCAGCGGAGATTGTGTGCCCTGAAAAGCACCAGGCTTTTGCAAATATCAGCCTGACAAGAAACACAGTTGCAGACAGGATTTCCGATCTTTCAGTGGATTTGGACAGCCAGTTGAAGCAAAAAGTAAAGTCATTTATTGCGTTTTCGGTTGCAATTGATGAAAGCACGGACATTACAGATGTTGCACAACTGGCAATTTTTTCATCCACGGAGTTGATGACACATTGACCGTCACCGAGGAGTTTGTGGAGTTGGTGCCGATGACAGATACAACGACAGCAGCTGATATTTTTACCATACTCGTCGGCGCGCTGGACAGGGTCGGAGTGGACTGGTCCCGCGCTGTCAGCCTGGCTACAGATGGTGCGCCCTCAATGATCGGGAAAAAAGCAGGCGTTGTGACAAAGTTCAGAGAGAAAGTGCAATCTGCAAATGGAGGACGTGATTTTTTGACTTTTCACTGTATTTTGCACCAGGAGGCTTTGTGTTGCAAGTCATTAAAGATGGATAACGTCATGAAGGTGGTCATCCAAACTGTTAATTTCATCCGATCCAGAAGCCTGAATCACCGTCAGTTTGACAGCCTTCTCAGAGAGAAAGACCACATCTATGGCCTGCCATACCACACTGAGGTAAGATGGTTAAGCCGAGGTGCTGTGCTGAGGCGTTTCTTTGATTTACGAGAAGAAATTGAACAGTTCATGGAAGAAAAGGGCAAACCAGTGTTAGAATTTCATTCCGCAGCATGGATGCCGGACCTTGCATTTATGGTGGATGTTACAGAGCACCTGAATAACTTGAACAAACAGCTGCAAGGGCGCAACAAAGTTGTCACGCAGTATTATGACAGCATACGTTCTTTCAAGTTGAAGCTGTCCCAACATGTGGCAGACATGAAGCGGTTCAAAGATAAAATAACGGGACTGTTACGGGAGTTTGAGCAACGCTTTCAGATTTATGTTTATATGTTTTTATGTTGATGTGCTATTGTTTTTAATTGATTTTATTTTATTTGTATATTTAACCTATTCTTGACTCTGTGGTTCTTGCACTTGTTTGGGAACAGGATTTCATTATTTTTATCTACATTTCTGCCTGAGAAATGACACCCTGATATAGTTCTGTGATCTGTGAAACAGTTCTGTTAATCACTGAGGCATTGTGTGTTTGTGTGTTCTTTTTCTTTAGAATTTTCAAATAAACTTGACGTGTTTTATGATTAATAGTGATGTTGTGCTTGTACTATTTTGGACACACTGTCCTCAGGCTCCAGCTTTATGTTGTATGTTGATCGTATTAAAACAAAGAAAACAATCTGAAGTTGTTGTTTTGAAGTTATATATACCATGATTTTTCCGGTCCGGCCCACTTGGGAATAGATTTTCCTCCATGTGGCCCCTGAGCTAAAATGAGTTTGACACCCCTGATCTAGGGCAACACTGCGCATGCGCGCCATTGGTTGGAGCAGACAGTGAGTCTCTGAAGTGCCATCTGAAGGGGTGGGACGTCACCTTGTGGACTGGGAGAGATTGGTTCTTCTTCCATTTCCACCGCTCTTGACAACCGTGTGTCTGAACGTGGAGAAGGAACACTTTTCATCGAAATCACATGCGGGAGACAACACTTTTGACACCCGTGAACACTGTGGAAGTGACCATGGAAGTTACCCTACTGACCAGTCATAGATACTGGCGACAAGGCGCCTTGTACCCTAGCTGGGAATGGGTCAGACAGCTCTGAAAAACAGCCCCCTTCTGTGGTAACAGACAGCGGCGATTCGTAATCAAATCTAATTCCCAGGAATGAAAAGCTCTGAGCTGGAGAAAGACAGCTTATTTCGAGGTTCATATGAACCACATAGACTCTGTGTGAGATAATAGCATGGTCGTGTCCAACACTGCTTGTCCCTCGACTCCGCTACCGACCACCAATTGCTTACAGAGCCCATAACCTGCATCACCAGACAACTCATTAGCTCCAGGCAGGAAGCAATGAATCCCAGTAATGAGCCACTTATGGGGGAGGGGTGCCCCCTTGTGGACAGAGAGTGAATTGGCCAACGTATTACTCGCACCCTGGGGAGACTGATATACCCATAGACATTAAAACCAGTAGATAGTGATAGCACTGACGTCATCCACATATTCCTATGGAAAACTCCCGATGGCGCATGAAGCCGGAAGTATTTGAATTTGAAGCATGCCATATTGCTAAATGGGGCTAAATGGCACAAACATTTCTAAGGATCATTGTGAAAGTGGCTGTAAGTAGCAAAGTATCATGGTCGATGTAGTCGTTTTCATCCTGCCTGAGAGAGTCAACCGGTAGCCTCCTCAAATCCTGCCGGCCCATGATTGGTCTGTGTCAGCACATGGCCCTGTGTGACGACAAATGCAGTAGTCAGAATGGATCACTATTGATCATAATAAACTAACGGCCTTCAAATCAAATCAAATGTATTTATAAAGCCCTTTTTGCTTCAGCAGATGTCACAAAGTGTGTATACAGAAACCCAGCCTAAAACCCCAAACAGCAAGTAATGGCTGATGTTGTACCACGTAGTACCCCGGTTGCTGTATCAAAACGTGGGGCGCTGTCGTCACAGCAACGTTTTTAGTGGAGCGGTGCAGCTGCTCGGGGACTACTTCCTCATTGGAGGTGCACGCAAGCCCTGCTCTCTCTACTCCCTCCAACTCCAGGAAATTAAAATAAGACTAGGGTTGCCATAGCGCTGGGGGGAACACTAGTAAGTTTCATTCACCAGAAGTTATGCATGC